CATTTTTAATTTTTAAAACATTCATATTTATGCAAAACTACTGTTTTCAATGGAAACAATCTAACTACAGAAGGGTTCCATCTCTGGATATCTTCAAGAAGATAATACACATATTAATCTACAGTGGTAGAGGCCTTCACTTGACTGAAGTCAAGATGCTAGATCACATGATCTCTTGAGGATCATTTTACCTCTGTGATTTCAAAGTTAATAACAGAAAACATCTGGCAACAATGAAGTGTTTTATAATCCATAATTATGATTTGTTTCAGGAGCTTACATGACTCGGACATAGATTTAGTATAAGTAAAAAAAAAAATATAACCTTCTCCAGTAGATGCTTTTGAAAAATATCTGATGCCAGTAGTTTCACATAGGTGCACCAGTGAATAAATAGTGCTTCTCCTTTATTACAGCTCAAAAATCAAAGCACCCACTAACTCTTTCCTGCCTTTCTAATGGGTACCAGAAAGTTGAAACATTTTTAGGAAATGATGCCCACCAGTGACTTCAGAAAGCCAATGATTTATGCCAAATGAGATGCATCAGATCTACAAACAGAGAGCTATTTTGGCATAGTCTTCCTACTTGTTATCTACACATCAGAAACTATGACAACTAGTGCCTCACAAATTTCTATTCAGGACCAATATTTTAATGACAGTATTTGCTTCTCTTGGCAGCTGGCCTTGTAAACCCAAATTTACGGAGAATTACAAAATCGTCTGAACACATGTGCAACCGAAGGCAGAGGCCTGAAACTGGTGTGCAGACTGCTTATACACTGGAATAACAAAGAACATTTGCAAAAACCACTGGGGAATTTTACACAGGCCAAGGCATTGTTTTATTCTAACTTTTGCCTTGATATGGATGTGCTTTATGCATTTCGCTTTGTATTACAATCATTTCTATATATAACTCATCTCTCTTATTAGACTCTAGGCCAGGGATTCTTATCCTTTTTTATTTAATGTCATGGGCCCTTTTGGCAGTCTAAAGAGCCTCATGAACCCATTCTCAGAATAATGTTTGGGGTTTTTTGGTCATAACTGAAGGAAAGGCTCAATTTTAAGAATCCCTGCTCTAAGCCCTGTGGGGGAAAGGAGTACCCCTATTCTAAGTTAAGCTTATCTTTGTGAATGGCACACCTTTTTGTGCATGGTTCATTCAATTGAAATTTTCTTCTGTCATCCACTGACTACACTGTAAAGGTGGATATAGAAAAGAACATAAAAAATACTGTAGAAAATATGGGTCAAGAGTAAAAAAAAGAAGCCAAAGGCTTATATCACCAAAGCCTGAAGCTTTTGTTGTTAATATTTTCTTATAGAAGATTTAGAACATAGACATAGTGATTGGATACAGTGAACACTAGACACAATCATAAAAAAGAAATGGAGTAAATCTTTTTTTATACCAAGCCTGTGATTTTATTTGCATAGGGAGTTCCCAGTAAGTGATTACCAATGCCATTTGTATTTCTGATATGCAATTTGTAATCTTACAAATTTACATGAGTCACTGAAAGGTTAGAAAATTTGCCCAAGGTCACACAGCCCAAATGTGTAGTAGAGAGGTGGTTTGGGGAAGGGGAAGGAAATTAGTTCTGTTTTGGACATGGTGATATTGATGTATCTTCAAGACATCCATTTTGAAATTTCCAACAGGTAATTGGTAGTATGGGAATAAAGCTAAGGAGAGAGTCTGGGGTTATGGATATGGATTATGGGAATTATGGATAGGGGAGTTATCAGCATAGAGGCTATAACTAAATACATCGGAGATGATAAGGTCAACAAGAGGGAGAACATAGATGGAGAAGAGTAGAGAACCTAGGACAGAAACTTAGGAACACCCTCAATTAAAAAGCATGATCTGTATGAACCGGCAAGGGAGACTTGCCAGGGGCCATATAGACAAGTAGAATGAAAACCAAGAGAGTAATGTCATGAAACAATAATAGCTAGTGTTTATATAATGCTTTAAGGTTAGAAAAACAAATATGATCTCATTTTATCTTCACAATAATGCTGCAAGGCAGGTGCTATTACTATTCCCATTTTACAAATGAGAAAATTGAGGGAGACAGAGGTTAAACGACTTGGACAAAGTCACAGAAATGTCTCAGGCTGGATTTGAATTCAGGTCTTCCTCACTCCAGATCCAGAGCTCTATTCACTCTTCCATCTACTTGCTTCCATGAAAGCCCACAAAGGACAGACTATCCAGGAGGACATGATGATCACTATTGTCAAATGAAGCAGATAACTGGAGAAGAATGATTGAAAAGACCATAGGACTTGCAATTAAAATATTATCTGTAACTTTGAAGAAAGCTTAATGATAACATCAGAAATCAGATGGTAGAGGGGTTGAAAATGAGAGGAGAAGTGGAGGCAGCAAGCCTAAACAGACTTTTCAAGGTATTTGGCTGAGAATACAAGATATATAGGATGATAGCTTGAGGAAACGGTAGAATCAAATGAAAATGCTTCTTTGTATTTTTAAGGTTCTATGATACTTTGACTTGTGCAAAAGCAACAGGGAAAGAACCAGTAAGAAGAGATAGGTTGGAAACTTGAGAGAGAGAAGAGATGATTAAAGTTGCAATCTGTTAGAGGAGGCAAAAGGACACATGTAGAAGTGTTGGGTGGCCTTGGTAAGGACAAGACATTGTGAATACTCAGAGAAAAAATAAACATTATTAACAATATAAAATAGCAATTGCCTAGATATCAATAACTTCTGATCCATATGTATATGTTCCCATCTCTACAAAAATATTTATGGGAATAATCTACACCAGAGGTGTCAAACATGCAGCCCTCCTGCAGCACTTCTAAGTGCAGCCTGAACCAGATTAAACCATAATTGGGAAATATTTCACCAAATTAAAAACATATGTAATATAGATAATGCTAATATGTTGTTTTTAACTCAAAATGCAGCCCCACAGGGATCCTTATGTGTGATTTAGTGGCCTCAGTTTCTATTTGATTTTGAGACCACTGATCTACATAATTATTGAAGATATCCTTGATGAAAGGATGATCAGAGAACTAGAAAGCTTTTATGGATAACATGTCTAGCAGAAAACATCTTTAAAGTTGAGCAACTAACTAAAGGGTACAGGGAACAAAAGACACCGTTATTTTTCTTACTTGGTCATAAAAATAGCATTTGATTTTGTGGAGCAAAACTCCACTTAAAATGCTATATACTCCATCAAGACGTCTCCCATGCACATGGTAAGAGGACTTGAAAGACATAACAAAATAATTTTGTTTCATTACACTTTGATTAGAAATACCAAGTGAGATGAGAAGTGTATCAGATATAAGGCAGTTTTATCATAAGATGAATAAAAAAGAGAATTTGATATATACCAAAATTTAAGCAACATACAATATTGCAATTACACATTTGCAAAGGAACTTTAACCTGAGGTTGTTTTAAGAAGAACTGAGTATGGCCAGGAACTGCTTAGGACAAATATACAAAGAAAAAGGGGAGGGAGTGAGGAGGATGCTTTTATTATGTGTAATAAGGAGAGCAGGACATCAAAGGAAGAAACCTAAGGACTTCTTACCACTAAATATTTTCCATCACCAAAGATAGAAACATATATTTATGTAATAGGAGCAGTTAGAGGACGGGCAGAAGAAAGTTTGAAAGGGTATCTGTGTTTTAGTCCAGTCCCTTCGTGTTGTGCATGCGGAAAGTGAGGCTTGATTGTCCAAGGTCACACAGGTAGCAATTGTCAAAACCAACACTAACAATCTAAGACATTAACTTCAATTCTAGAATTGTTTCCACTGAACCATATTGAATTAATCTTAGATGATGTATTTTCATCCACATAGTGTTCTATGGCCTTAGGAAAAAGTTCATCCTATAGCTTCAAACCAGTCTTTTTTAAGTCAACTTTTGGTTAAAAAAAATAACAATCAGTCACATTACATTCAGAAAGTAGTCAGCTTTGTTATTCATTTGTCAAAAACTCACAATGGTCACTAAGAATAGTGATCCATCAACTTGGAATTACTACCACTTTGAATGAAAGCATTTTTTTCTTGTGGTATTAATTCAACATTCTCTTAGTGCCTGAATTTTTCAGAACCAGCAGACATATAGATCTCAAAATTATAGCCCTCCCTCACTTCAACATATAAAGCACTGGGTTTTCAGTTAGAAGTCATGGGTTCACATCCTATCTATGCCACTTATTACCTGTATGGCCTTAATCAAATCAATCAACCTCCCTGGCCTCACTTTCTTTATCTGCAAATAAAGAGGCTGAGCTATATGAAACTTAACCAAGGCTATACATATTTCTAACCTCTAAGTGCTCTTTAAATGTATGTCATCACTATTTATATTTTTAAAAATAGGTTTCACAGCATGACTTTAGGTTCAAAGAAATATTTCTAAAGTCTTCATCCAAAAGCTGATCATGTAATATTTCTGGGGTTTTAAAAGGATGCAATGTAAAATTCTTTTAAAAAGATTTCATTCTGCAAGATTCATAGACTTCTTCCGCAGCTGTTAGCAGTGCAAATATATGACTGAGATATTGCTACCACAGGTAACCAAGCTCATCAGTTTTAAATCACTGATACCATTGTTTCAGTTAAAGATCACAGAATGATCTGCTGATAGGAAGCATTTAGCATATCTACTAAGATTGGATGAAAAGTCCTCTGAATAAAAATGCAAGATTATCTAATGCTGTCTTAAACTCACAATTATCTTTGACGCAAAAATATGAGATGGATCAGAAAATTAAAATAAATATAGGCACTTAATATTTTTTCCTTGTTCCCTTATATTTCTTTCTATTTCTATCTCCATGCAAAACTCATTTTGTTAGATGCAAGGTAAAAGAAATGTGTGACTGTAAAAGTACAAATGGTGGTGGGAGAAGTCTTAAATTTTGACTAATCAGAGATATTCCAAGGGGGTTGCAAGGAGTGATAAAAACAAGAAATGACAAATACCTCTTCTAAGGTGGTATCTGAAATTCCATAGCCAGTTAGATGCAAATGATGTAGGTTTTGATCCAGAGCCTGAAAGAGGCCTTTAAAGCATGCTTTGTCTGTATCCTTTGGAATTGCATAAGTCAGCTCATTCCCACCATCTTCTTTAAGAAATGCTTTTGGAATGTGGATCTGTATCAGAGATGTAACTCGATCTATGTCCTTGGCATCTTGGATCTCCACAATGAAAGGCTACAAAGAAGATGGGAAAATAACAAAGAGAAAAGAGGTGAAATCCTCAAGTACCTCAAACAGACATCAGTTGATTTGAATTAGTCATTATACATTCTATGGGAACTAAAATTCAAATTAAGCAAAGTTGAAATATCCATCCACTGACACATGCAGCAGCATGGACTATGTATTTATGTCAAATACAAATCAACTCAGGCACAAGATACCTTCATAAATACATTATTTATTTCATCTCTCCCTACCTTGAAGGTCACCTAAATTCAACTCTAGGATTTATACAGGACAAAAATTGCCTACAAGTGCCTATAGATAGCCACAATGTTTTGGTTTACTGCCTTACTATTACTATTTGGCCTTTAATATGAGAAAACAAAACCAGAGTTTCTGTTTATTCATAAAAAGAAAACCTCAGTTGGTTGGAACCCTGAATTAAAAGTCATAACGTTGGCCTGCTTTTCTATGCCCTTTACCTACGTACAAATATGTAGTCAAAAGAGACAATGGAGAGAGAAACAAATTCATCTCTATTATGGTGGGGGAGGGGGATGGAGAAATTGAAGGCCCATGGGCTTACTAATGACAAGTCATTAAAGTTATCTTCACTTTCCTTCCTTTCATTGACTTGCAGATTTTTTGAATGATTGTCTATCAGTTCAGCTCCTATTACTTCAGAAACCCTCTATGTTGTGCTTTCTGCCTCCACCACTATAATGAAACTGATTCCTAAAAGCCAGTCTGTTGCCCTTTCTTGCCAAATCCAATGATCTTTTCTTATCTATCATAATTCGCTTTGAACATTTTGTTGTATTAGACATTGTTGACCATCCCATCTTCAAAACTTTCTTTGGACTTCATGACATTGCACTCTTATCTTTGTGCCTTTTTTCTTTTTCATTCTCATTACAAACACTTACTGAACATTTACTTTGTTAGTTCATCTTCTTACCATTTACTTAATATGGAAGTCCTCCAAGACTTAATCATAAGCCATTCATTCATTCTGCCTATACTTTCCATTAATGAGTTATACTTTTATGGCTTCCACTACCACTTCTATAGTAATGGCTCTAAAATCTGCAACCAAAATTCTGATATTGACCTAACTTCCCCTCTCATAATTTCAACTGCCTTCAAGATATTTATAAGTGGATCTTTCCATCATTTCAAATTCAAAATATTAAAAATTAAAGTCATCTTCCCTCCTAAACCAAATATTTTCCCAGGTAGCCCATTTCTGTCAATGGTACCATCATTTTCCCAATCACCTATTCTCCAGTCTTGGATTTATCATTAACTCTTCTCTCTGTTTTATCGCTTGTATCAAGTATTTAACAGTTTTCTCAATTTTTCCTTCAAAACACATTTTTATTTTATCTATGTATACTACCATAGCTGCTACCACGAGCCAAGCCTTCAACACAGTTGGGCTCTTAAACACATCATTGAAAGTGATCACATTGATCAAATTGAAACACATCATACATTCAATTCAACACAATTCTCTTAAAACGGTGGTGTCAACTTGAGAAATGAGAGCCTCTAAACCACACATAAGGAATCCTGTGAGCCACATACTGACTTAAGAAAATCACAGATGTTCATGTGTGTATATAAAGATATACATATATAAATCAACACATTAAAACCAGAAAGGACATATGTTTTAATCTTATTTGAGCCAACTTAGGAGTATTATGAGCATGTGCCCTATGTGTTTGATACTTCTACCCTAAAATATCTCTCTAACTAGTATTTCTCTACTGCCAATCCATACTATATACCTCTACCTTACTAATGTTTCTAAAACATTTTTTGTTCATGAGAAACTATAATGTAGTGAAAAAGACTAGGGGCAGCTAGGTGGCACAGTGGATAGAGCTCTGGCCTTGGAGTCAGGAGGACCTGAGTTCAAATCTGGCTTCAAACACATAACATTTACTAGCTATGTGACCCTGGGCAAATCACTTAACCCCAAGCGTAGCCAAAAAAAAAAATTAAAAAAGAATAAAAAAAAAGAAAAAGACCTTGGATTTGCAGCCAGAAGATATGGTTTTGAATCTTAGCCTGTCCATTTACTGCTATATGACCTTGTCTCCTCATCTGTAAAGTGTTGGGCTTGTATTAGAGATGATCTCTACTGTCCCTTATAGCTTTAAGTCTCTGAATCTATGAATGCCAGGGCCCCATAATCCTCATCTTTAAAACGGTGAATGTAGAACCTGTTGTGACCACCTGATGAGGTCATGGGGAAGCTTAAATAAAATACTATACTAAGTGATAGATAAGCATCCCTCAGGCAATGTGGCATAGAGCCGAGTCAGAAAACTACAGCCCATGGATCAAATCTAGCCTGCCTCTGGTTTCTGGCATGGCTTAAAAGATAAGAATGTGGTTTTTTACATTTTTGAATAAAATTTTCCTGCATTTAAAGATGTAAAAATCTTTCTTAACTTGTGGGCCACACCAAAAATGGACAACAGTGGGATCTGGCACTTGAACCATATTTTGCTGACCTCTCATATAAAGGGTAAAGTTCTGAATTTGGAGTAATGAATGCCAGGATACAAATCTCACCCCAGAAATTTATTAGCTGTGTGTTCCTGCGCCAGTTATTTGTAACCTCTCCATTTCCTCATCTGTAAAATGGGGATGAATATAATACCTAATTTGAAGGATCGTTGTGAGAATCAAAGAAGATATATCTAAAGCACTTCATAAACCTGAATTATTGGTGTTATTCTTTGTGCTAATGGAGAGAGAGAGAGAGTGTGTGCTCCTTTGCTCTATACAAACTCATCTCTTCACTATCTCCTATACATGCCATTTTCATCTCTGCCATTTTGCACTCCCTACCTAAAATGGTCACCTAATCACTGAATGTGAGTTGGAAGCCATCTCAAAGGCTTTATCTATAAACCAATACGTAATCATTCACTCTTCACTTGATCTCTCTCCAGTCACTGGAGATGCTAGTATTTCCAGAGGTACCTCATTCTTCTTTAGTATTGTTCTTTTTGTTGGGCAATTTTTCTTCCCATCAGGCCTTAATCTACCATTCTTCACTTTCACCCACTGCTCCTGGTTCTTCCCCATGGAGCCAAGGAGAACAAGTCTAAGCCTTCTGTCACATGACATCTCTTCAAATACTCGAAAATATGTAATATGTGACCCTTAAGTCTTCTCTTCTCCTACTCAAAATTCAAAATCTTCTTCCTTGTACCCTTCCTTGGTCATTCATGTCAACACTGATCTCTTACCTTCCTGACTAAGCAAAGCCATTACAAACAATACCATATGTTTTTGGCCCTAGTTTATACTAACTCAATACTGCATCATATTTTTCATCTCCAGTTGTCCTAATTTATATTTTGCCACTGACCCAGATGGCTCTGTAGGAGAAAGTGAGGCTGGTGACTTTACACAGCCCTCCTTCACTTAAATCCAATTCACTTGCTAGTCACAGCATCACCTTCCTGATGCCAGGGTCCTCTTTGAGAATGAAGGACAAACAACAACAGCCACATTTTTCTCTAAGAATCACATGTGTCTCTTTTCTCACATTCTGGGGGTAGGGCAGGCACACTGCCATCCAAGGGCCCATTTTATTGTGTCCATCCTGCTGCTTCTGCATTTCCCATCCCTTGACCCCAGCTGAGCTACATTCTATCCTATTTGGAAAGTTCACTGAACTCAAACCCATTGGGTTCCCCAAGGCTAGTGTTTGTGGGCAGAAGGAAGTCTGCCACAAAGATAGACTGAGGCAAGTTCACTTCTTTCATCTCTATTTTCAAGTGAGATGCTCCCACAAGCAAGCAACTCACAGTTTCCAATGTCTTTTAAAGTCCATTTTCCTTTTTTTTAAATAAATTCAAAATAAAGAATTTTTAATATGGAGAAGAAACTGTGCCTGCCCCTGAAGAAGCCTGCAGGTCTCTGCCAAAGGCCTGAACAGCCCCCAAGGTCGTTGGTCCTCTTCAGAAATGAAGGATGGACAACATCTTTTCTCACCAAAAGGATTCTAAGTTTCTCAAAAGCAAGAATAAGTATAATACTTATTTCTATATCTTGAAGTTCTAGGCAGGATGAGGAAGTCCCCAATAAGAACCTAGTATATTTAATTTAACTCAACATTTAATTATAATTACTATTACTAATTGCTGCATAATAAATACAATTAGAACAGGAAATAGCCTCATGCATAAGAACTCACAGGCTTTAGACCTACAAGAATTCATACGGATTATCCAGGCCAATGTACTCATTTCAGAGCTTTGAAATTACTGGAATGGTTACCGTGTGGAAGAGGCATTGGTTCATTCTACTTGGCTGCCATAGTTGGAACTAGGAATAATGAGTGAAGGTTAGATTGCAAGCTCCTTGAAGGCGGGGATTATCTTTTGCTTCTTTTTGTATACTCAGTGCTAAGCACAGTGCCTGGTACACTATAGGTGTTTAGTAAATACCCACTGATTGATTTTAAAAAGTTTAAGAGCAGCAGACTTGGGCTTGATGGGAAAAAAAACTCTTGAAAACAAAGCAATTTCAAAGAAAATTCAACTGCCTCTGGAGATAGTAGGACATCTCTATCAAGAGAGGTCTTTAAGTGAAGACTGGATGACGGCTTGCTGGGGATAGCGTAGAAGAGATTACCATAGAGGAACAAGTTGGATCCTATTAGCCTTCCAACTCTGAGGGTCTTTGGCAATGTTAAGTGACTTATAACAGTGGCAACGGCACTGGACCTAGGAGTTATCTAACGCCAGATCCAAAACTATGTCCTGAAAGCTTCTACAACACATATTTACTACTTTTCCCCAAGTAGAACTTAGGGCTCCTTGAGAGAGTAGGGATGGTTTGGTTTTTGCCTTTGGATCTCCAGAGCATTCCACAGTACCCTAGTACACACTAAACTTCATACATATGATCTGTAAAAATAGAATTGAAGTTCTAGTTTCTCGTCTTACTTTTTTTGTCAGCGTCAGACTGAGGCCATGGCCGTAGGTTTCCTTCAGGCTGGAGGGAGAACCAGAACATCTAAGTCGCCCGTGCTGGAGTATGGCAATGCGATCACCAAGCACCTCTGCCTCATCAAGATGGTGTGTAGTGAAGATTAAGGTACGGCCTGTATTTCAAGATTAAAAGAATGTCAAAGTTTATATTGCAATACCCTCAAGAAAGCTTATGAAGTTTCAGTAGAATATTGGAATTTTCACGTTCAAAGGGATTTCTGGGATTATCTGTTCAGGGACTGTCTTATGCCTCTTCTTGTATACCCAGAGCACAGCATAGTGCTTGGCACATAGTAGGTGCTTAATAAATGTTTAGTGATTGATTGATTCATAGGGAAACTGTAGTCTTTAAAAATTGAATAACTTCTAATAAACTGCTGGTAGAGCTGTGAAATGGCTCAATAATTTGGGAATACAATCTGGAACTATTCTAAGAAGGGACTAAGGTGTCCAAATCTTTTTATTCAGAGGTCGCATTGCCAGGTATATGTGGCAAAAAGATTAAAAATACAAAAATCCAATGTATATCAAAATATTTAAAATAGGACCAGTTCTTTTTCAGGTAAGAGTTGGACTAGCTGACCTCTAAGGTCCCCTCCAACTCTGAAATTCTCTGATTCTGGGCATATCACTACATGGTATAGTGGTTTTTACTATTTCATGCTTTTCTAAAAAGTTTATACACACACACACACACACACACACACACACACACACACACAGAGACTAAAATACATTGCAAGTACATTGGGAAACCTGACTATTTAAAGGAATACCACAGTAGTTCTTTTCTTAAAAGAAATAATCATTCCCTAATGTCTATGTTTTATAAATTCAATTCCCTTTTTAATATCCATGCACTTTAAGTCAGGAGACAAAAACACTTATCATGAAGAAAAGGCCTATATTAATTTTATCTCTTATTTTCATAATATGACGAATGACAAACCCCTATTGGTTTTTCATATTTAAGCATTTCTCTAGATAACATAAAAGAAAGATAAATAAGTCATTTTATAAAGGTCTAGATGGTCAATTAATTGATGTTATCCTGTTGTTAATTAATCTTAAAGAACATCTAATGGCATGTAGAGAGATTTGAAAAATTGCTACTAAGATTTCAAATTGGAATAAAAATTAATCTCTAATCATTTTTATCATTCCTCTTCTGAAGTCATTCTATTTTTGCTATTAAGATACCTTCCTTTTTTATAGAAACAATGATGACATAAAAGAATAAAAATGCAAATTTTGATCAGTAACAAGCACCAAAAAGGTAAGCACAATAAGCAAAGAACCACCTCTACAAATATTTTTCTTAATGAATGGGGAAAAAATTGCCCTAATTTCTATTTGAGAATGATGGTAGCCACTGCAAACTGTGTGTGTGTTGAACATAGAGGACACATATGAATATGCCAAGGACTGAATAGACTGAGGTATGAGTGACAGCTCTTTACCCCAAAAAGTCTACCCTTAAACTTGTTATTCAACCACTTTCTGCTCTGAGTAGAAGTGGCATTATATAAATAATTTCTCTCTAATAAGATCCTATAATTTGATACATACCATGGCATGGAAGTGGTCATATATTCTTGAAGGCTATAGTAGGGTCTCATAATTTTTTAAGTTGGAGAAATTCTTGAAAATCATTTTCTGAGTCATGGAAGGGATATAATGTATTATAAGAATACCCAGCTTAATGAATCACAGGTGTTTTAGCTTTGAAGACATATGACTTTTTCATGAGCTCTTGACATGAACCAAAACCTATTGTCAGGTTTATATCTAGTTACAAAATTTAAGCAACTTATATTCATGGCATATACTTGATCAAGAGAATTGTATCACCTGGTATGGCAGAAATAATGGATTTTGCATCTGGATTCAAAATTCAAATTCATGACAGTGCATTGCCAACCTTGGAAAAGTCACTTAGCTTTTAATAGACCTGTTTCTCAGTGAACAAGCTGTCAAATGCTTTCTGTGTACTAGGCACTGTATTAACTGTTGGGGATATAAAGAAAGGCAAAAACACTAATTAACTGGAAGACTACACGTGAAAAACTATGCACATAAGTAGACGGAATACAATAGCAGAAAGCACTATTAATGTATTGGGAGGCAGGAAGATTGGGACTAGGGAAGGCTTTCTAGAGAAGCTGGGATTTGATCCAAGTCTTGAAGGAAGCCAAATGAACTAAGATATGGAAGAAAATGGGGTTAGGGCTGGAGGTTAGGGGATTATTTATAGGGGACAGCCAGTGCAAAAACACTGAGAGGCAATATAGAGTGTGCAAAGAACAGCAAATAACCCAAAGAAGCTGGATCATAGGATGCGTTCAGAGGAGGAAAGTATAAGAATACTGAAAAAAGGAAAGGGGGAAGGTTTTAAAGGGCTTTAAATGCCAAACAGAGGGTTTCCATTTGATCTTGAGAGGCATTGGAAAAACAGGTGCCAAAGTCAGAGACATACTTTAGGAAAATCACTTTGGCTGTGTGCAGGAGGACAGATCAGAGTAAGGAGAGATTTGATTTGGGGAGACCAAATAGAAAGCTATAGGAATAGTCCAGGTGTAAGTTGAGAAGGACCTGTGGGTGGTGGCTTTACAAGAAGAGAAAAGAAGACATATACAAGAGATATGACAAAGTTAAGATCTGATAACAGAAGAAGGAATTCTGAAGCCTATGAAACTGTTACTTTAGCATATCTAAATTACTTATATTTAGTTCACTGCTAACCACTAAGGTGAAATAAACATATTTATTCTTTGATCTTGAAAATAAAATGAGGAAGGGAAACAAAGGGTCACAGTAGTTCTTAATCCAATTTCAATGTTTTACAGGGAACAAGCAGGTCCAAATGAAGGCCAACCTAATGTATGAGAGTATATATGGGTGGAAGGGAGCTGTGAATTATAAGGCACAAAGAAATGAAGCAGCAGGTGCTTTCCTGGGTATTTACTCATTATAACATTCCAAAGACAATATTGCTTTGAACTAAAAGAAGTAAACTAAGCACCTGAGTTCAAGTGATAGGAGCAGCGATACATTTAATTAGTACTCTGTTATTTGCAGTTAATTTCAAATGAAAATTTTCTAAATTGTCTATGTCTAAAAATAAAACAATCTATACCATTTTAAATAGTTTAAAACAGAATTTAGATAAAGGAACAAAGTGTATGTCCATAGTGGATTGTTAAGAAATATTAAGAATTCCATGCAATGTTTTCATGCTATGTTTTAAGGATTTCATGCTATATTTCATGCTAAAGTTTCCTAATCTTTTAAGTCAACTACCATTGTGGCTCATAAATCATTTAATTTTCAAAATAGACTTTTAGGCTACATGAAATGATGTACCTAATCTGGTATATACTGGTGAAGAGATGGCACAGGGAGCCAGGATCAGAGTCAGAAAAAGCTGAGTCCAAGTCCCATTTCTGATACATACTGGCCATGTGACTAATGGAAGGCACTTAACCCCTCAGATAAAAACAACTCTCAAAAATTCTAAGTTGGAAAGTTTGTACAGATGATGGTGGAAAGAGTTTCCTCACTGGGAGCTCCCTGCACCTAAGAAATCACAGGTCTGGCCGATCAAACAACAAGCCTGTATTAAGTACTTACTACCTTCTAGACAATATGCTAAGCATTAGATATGAAAAAAATAAAAGTAATCCCTTGCCCTCAAGGAGTTTGCATTCAAATGAAAAAGACAACATGTAAAAATATGGATGAGATAAAAGATACATACAAAATAGAAATAAAGTAATCTTAGAAGAGATGGCATTAGCACCCAGTTTGGGGGAGATGAGGTGAGGAGGGGATGGAGAGGGGGGCAGGAAAAGTCTTCCTGCGAAAAGTATTCTGGGATCTGAGTCTTGAAGAAATATCACAGGATCGGAGTCCTGAAGGAAATCACCTTTTAAGAGGAAGAAATGAGTAGGGAGAGCTTCCCAGGCATAGAGGAATGAAAATTAGAGATGGAGCATCATTTGTGAGGAACAATAAACAGGCCAGTATGGTTGGAACATAGAGTTTATGGAAGGGATATAATATATAATAAGACTATAATAAGACTGGAGAGGAAGGAAGACTTCTGGCTGAATGGTATACAGATTCCCCAGCTCCCAAATATTTACTCCAACAGAACCAAGAAATTCCCAGACCCTGTAATGATTAAGAAATCCAATGAAATACTACAGAGACTTATTTCACCCTAGGACTGCATAAAACATTAGCCAGAAGCCCATGGGCAATAGAAAAGTTCCCTCTCTCCCCTCCCCCAGCAAATCTAGCACAAGTGCAGGGAGACCCTGGCACAATCAGAGATGGGAAATGCGTAGTCTCTGTGTCTGGAGAATGCAATAGCAAAGGGGTCCTGTAAAAAAGCCTCAGGAGGGTTGAGTGAAAAAGCTCCATGGTGAGGACCTTAAAAGCTTCAGGGAGTTCTAGACGGAAGCAGCCAGCATCAACTAGGCAGGGTCTCTGAGGTCCGTCCCTGAGACATCAGAAAAGGCCATGAAGATACAAAGTTCTGAACCTCTACATTTCAAGGGGCCTTAGCCGCCAACATGGAGATCAGTGCAGGCAAAATAGTTCACAGTCTCAATGAGTTCACAGTTGAATGGGGGCAGGAAGAGAAAAAAGCATAAAACACATAAGAAACTTAGAAAATCGCAGAACACGAAATCAAAACCATTGAGGTTTGTGCAATATTTTCAGAAATTTCCATTTTATAACAATTCAGTCGGTATTCATTCAGAATGACTCCTCTAATAATAAAATAATAATAATTACTAGACAACAAGAAAAACTAATTCAGAAGAGATGAAAAAACTTTGGAAGAGAATTTTCTTTCTCTCTTGATTTGCTTTCTGTTTATTTGGGCCGCGGATTGTCATTCTGATGAATCATCAGAAATCTTGTCACGTTAACTTCCCATGCTTGTCAGCTTTCATGTAAAGGTGACAAAGGAGTTTGTTGATTTCTGCTATTGCCAGGATAAGAAAGTGAGAAAATCTCTCACAGTTTGAAAGGACGAAGAGGTCATTTAGTATATTGCTCCCAACTTCAGGTCCACTTACAGAAATTAGTCCACCACAGAGTTGGTTTTTTTTTCAATCTCAAAATTCTTGGGATCACAGGTCATTAGTCCTTAAAAAGGATAATTTATTTTTTAAAATGGATCCTCCTTCTTCCTGCACCCTGCTTTCTTTCCAGTTTCTGGTCCCTTCCATTGTTCTAAAGTTGTAGAGGGTAGAATAGTAGATAATGCCAATACTAAATATGGTTGCCAATTTAGAGATTTTGTAGAGAGCCACACTCCAAGCTGATTTAGGTTCAAAAACTGCTTCTGACCTCTCTGTACTGGCCGTGTTTCCATGGGCAAACCACTTAATTTTCTGTTGTTCTAAGAAACTCCATAAGACTGTAAGTTTCAGGAAAGTATTGTCTTACATTTGTAAAGGAAGCTTCATTACCAGGGAATTCTTTACATTAATTAAATCCTTACCCCATCTCCCTTGGTTAACCTTGGCTGGGATCAGTATTGAATAGGAAGAGAACAGTAAGTTAGGTTATAAAGTAATTTCAATAGTCCCAAGCAGGTTGTTTTGGGGAGACCTACAATACTTAAGTTGTCTCTATGCATCCTGTCTTGAAAATCCATGTTTTGCTTATATGAAGAACGTTTTCTTTGAATATAAGTGCTTTTTTGTTCTCTTCTTCCAAATTGTCCTCTTCCATGTAATCGCAATCACAATTAGTCATTCTCTCTTTAATTTCTTTAGAAAAATTTACCACTGTGGATTGAAAGGGATTTTTTTCTATTTTGTCCATTCTTACTGCTGTACAGACCACGAGCTACGTTTTCACAATTTCTTATTTTTCTTATATTACTCAGAAACACTTTACTATGGTTCCATTCTGTCTTGAGAATCTACAGGATCTTCTGCCCCATCAGATGTTAACTCATTTTTGTCATGCAATATTTTTTTCATAAACGTATGGACTCTTCTGAGCAACTAGACCACATAGTGGATAGAGTGCTAGCCCTGGAGTCAGAAGGACCTGAATTCAAACCTGGCCCCAGACACTTACTAGCTGTGTGATTCTGGGCAAGTCACTTAACCCTGTTTGCCTCAGTTTCCTCATCTGTGAATGAGCTGGAGAAGGAAATAGCAAACCACTCCAGTATCTCTGCCCCAAATGAGGGCATGAAGAGTTCGACACAACTAAAACAACTCAACAAACATGGAATCTTTTTCCTGAGCTGCGGGCCACATTCCCTTCTGTCATTAATAGCTTCCTTGTTGGTTTTTCTATTTATACTTCAAGTCTTTAAATGAGCTCTCTTCTTTCTGGTATCTTTGGTAACATCAGACTTTTCCCTACTTCACCTTATTGCTCACTTTCTTATACTCCCTTTGACGGCAGTTTCTCTGGAAGCTGGACTTCAAAACTATCTCATCCATCCTAGTGGGCAATTCACTACTCACAAGTCTCAGTCTATGTCCCAAGTGACTTCTGGAGAAACAGAACTGGTAACAGCTGGATGCTGGGCTCTTTCCTTCAGTTGAAGGAGTACCACACAGCCATATACTCTGTTCAGTTCTCTAGTGGAGTTCTGTTGTGTCACAGAGCACTGACATAATACTGTGTCAGCCTCAGTAAGCTTCTGCCTTTTGGACTTCAGTTTCTGTGGCCTTGCTATTATTGAAGCATGGCAGGCAGAAGGGGCTGGTGGTGGAGAAGGGTATTGAACAAATGTGTTAGAGGTTAAGGATTATTAGCTTTCTCTGTACTTAGTTCACTAATTGCTTCTTCGAATTCTTAGCATCCTAGAGTGTGAAGATAGCTGAAAATGTTTTCATTTCTTGTACATGAATTAAATAGAAGAACCAAGTATATCAAGACAGCGATATACTGTTGGGTGGGAAGTCCATTTAGTTATTCCATAAGCACATATTTCTTGAAGAGTTATTGTAAACTGGCATAAGCATCAACTTAAATGTAAGTATAAAAGACACATTCAAAGACATTTGTCACAATAAAAGAATATGGGTCTATCATATTTCAAGGATAAAGCCCCAAGTATTACATTGGTACCCGTAAGATATTTTAAAAATTAAAGAAAGTCTCCTTGTGTGTTGGATGGATCAGATATAGATGGTTTATAGGAAAAAATAGACAAGAATCTCAAAATATTACATGATATGGAGGGTTTATTATATATAATAATAGAGGGAGTACACACACCATTACTGTATTGGTAAAGGCAGCTTTTTGAACCTAAGTATGACTCTTAAATAAAAGTCCTAAAAAACTTTAGTTTCTTAGTGTGAATAAATCTAAAATTCTTACTGGGGTTTTTTTTTTCCATATGAGTTTTTTTTTTTACTATATTCCCAGGAAACAATTTCTGAAATGAAATTCTCCTAATCTCTCTTGATGCAAGATTTGTTCCAATGGATGACTATCTTAGCTTTGTTATAAACAAATATTATCTTATCAGAATAAAAAAGAGAATGGTGCTCATTTCCTACCTGCTCGATACTTCAGTAGAATATCCCAAATGCCCCGGCGGGCACAAGGATCCACACCACTAGTAGGCTCATCTAGAACGACAACGTTTGAATTTCCAATAAAGGCAATGCCAATTGAGAGTTTTCTTTTCATTCCTCCAGAGAGAGCTCTGATGTGCTTGTGTTGGTGGTGGGTTAACTCCACATCTTGAAGGGTTCTAGAATATGAAAAAGCCCATCACTATGGTCCCCAAACTACTGGTACTGTTCTCCTAGACCTCAACCCAATCAAAATGTTTCCTTAGAATTCAGTAGGCTGCAGTTGAGAGTTAGTGCTGTATGATGGAATGAGCATTATACCTGGAATCAGGAGGAACCTAAGCTTAAATTCTGCTTCTGAAACTTAGTAACTACATGACCATAAACAAATTACTTAATTTGTGAATTTCACTTTCCTTATTTGTTAAATCAGTTAGTAGAATCTCTAATACCAAACTATATGAGAGGCAGCATAGCAATGGATAAAAAGGAAACAAGGAAACAAACACTTATTAAGCACCTACTGTGTTCTAACCACTGTTCGAGGTAAGCCTTTTCTCATTTGGTCATCACAATCATGAGAGGTAAGTGGTATTATTATTCCCATTTTGCAGCTGAGGAAACTAAGGCAGACAGAGGCTTTAAGTGACTTCTCCAGGATCATACAGATAGTAAAGGAGGCAAGATTTGAACTCAGATTTCTTGACCCCAGGCACCCACCTTTTATATATGGTAGCCTCTGAGCTCAGCTCAGAATTAAACTCAAGTAGCTCCTTTGACACATACTGACTGTGTGACCCTGGACTAGTCACTTAACCTCTCGGTTTTCTAGGGAATACTCTAAAACAAGAAATCTTGAGAAGGTGCTGACCTTCAATTGGTAGAGTGAGTTCCCTCCTTTAGGATAAGCCTAGGTAACCTCTTCCTGTTTTGAATCGATAATCCCTCAGTACTTAGAACAGTGCCTGGTACATAGTAAGCATTTTATGAATGCTTGTTGACTATTGCCTGACTTCACTCTATTGTCAGATTATGCATCTTTCTGCACAAATCTGATCATGTTAATCCCCTTCTCAAAAGTATTCAATATTTCCCTATCAAATGCAGAATAAAATTCAAACTTTTTAACATGGAATCCACAACCATTTACAACCTGGTAACTTACAAACTTCCCAGTCCTTCTTTCAAATTACAGCCCTCTATTTATTATGCTACGTCTCTGTTTTACTATCCATTGTATACATCCAACATGTTTACTATGCCTTGACTGCCTTGCCTCCAACAACTTCACCTTTTGAAGTCCCACCTAACTTTTAAGACCCACTTCAGATACCACATCCTCCAAGAATCCTTCCTGACCTCCTCCGTCACAAATAACATTTCCTTTCTCTATTCTATAGCCCTCTACAACTGTCTGTTACCACATTCTGCTCCACAGTTATACATGTCCCCATCTGTCTGTATATTTGTCATGTCATTCATTGCTTTCCATTCCGAACCATAGCTATGCATGCCAAATCTGTACAGTATTGTTTGCGTCTCCTCAGCACCTAGCATATAGCCTTTAATGCTTCTTAAATGAAAGAATGAATAAACAAATAGCTAAAGATATTATTGTATTTGAATCAACAACAGCACCTTATGCCCCATCAGTAAGTAGTGCAATATTTATGTTGTGTTCACTTGTAAATTGCTTCTATACAGTGCTTAACTCAGTTCTACATGCAAGCAGTTAATGAATATTTTTTATGTTGGTGAATATTCATTTCTCTATGGAAATAGTTTTTTTTATTAATAAACATGAATACATTAACTGCTCATCAAAAAGCCCAACAATTTCCAGCAAATTAAACACAGTAGATTGCAAATAGTTTGCTTACTACCACCTGTGTAGACTCAATGCTTGCAATGGTAAGTACCCTTGGCACCTGTAAACCTTTCACATAACATCAAGATGTCATTCTTTAAATAATAATCATTGTGCTTCAATAGATCTATGATCCATTGAAGTGGATACTCCTTTCAATCTCACAGGTTGCACAACAACCCATCCATGCCTTCTCATCCTGTGTAACTCTTGTTCATGAACTGTGGCAAAGTGCTTTGCACATAAAGGATGCTCAAAAATATCTAAAAAGTGAATAGGCAGGTGGATGTCGGTGGTATGACCACTAACTCTACTAGTTCAACTAGTTTTCCCCAGATCTTGTGGGTAGATATGCACTTAGATGTTTTGCATTGGCATACCAAAATTTTCATTCCCTGTACTTGAGATTTCCCAGTTATCCTCATTTTTTTAAGCAATGCTTAACTTTCATTACAGGTACAGCTAATCCATTATGTTATTTTACTGCCTCTCATAATGGTTATTTTGATTCCATTAGTGCCTTCTAGTGAGTCCAATTTGCTAATGTATTATGTACGTTCTAAAGTGAAATTCTACTCCAGAATATTCAAGTGCAACATTCAATATGGCCAAATGGAGATCTCTAGAAGAAAGGTGAGATTAGAGTTTATTCTACCTAGACAGGTACCTCTTCACATATTCTAATTCACTGTGCAGCAAGGCCAGGCAGACTGATAGAAATTTAATTGGCTAAAGTTCTGAGCACCTGCTATTAGAGTGAGTGGAGACAGCACCATATACTCTTGCAAATTCTGATTTTTCCCATAATTTCTTTGCTTTGAAATACAATCTAATCTACATATCCTCTATACTTAATGCTTCTTTTTTCTTTTGATTTCTTGAATTTGCCTGTAACTACAGAACTGAGGTACTTAGATAGAACTGGGAGAAAGAGGGAAAGAATATTTGTGAGACCAGATATTGTCTACCAGATGTTTCTTTTATTTTAAAAAAAAATTTAATGTTTTATTTTTACATTAAAAACATTTCCAAATTACCCCTGACCACCATAAGAGGTCTCTTTGTAACAAAGTAAAACAATTAAGCAAAACTAATGCAATAACTTCTTCTGAAAGTGCAGGCGACACTCTACATCTTTAGCACCCTCCCACCTCTCAATTTTGTGTTATTTTTTTTTCAAATGAACAGAAATCTGCTTTTTCTCTCTTTCATTCCTACCTTATTGGAAGAAAAACAAATTCCTTGTACCAAATGTGCTTAGTTAGGCAAAACAAATTCCCACAGTGACTGTATACAAAAATATGTGTTGGGGCAGCTAGGTAGCACAGTGCATAGAGCTCTGGCCTTGGAGTCAGGAGGACCTGAGTTCAAATCCGACCTGAGACACTTGACACTTACTAGCCATGTGACTCTGGGCAAGTCACTTAACCTGTTACCTAGCCAAAAATAAACATACACACACACACACACACACACACACACACACACACACACACACATATATATCTCATTCCAAACTCTGAATCCATCACTTGTCTACCAAAAGGTAAATATGTTTCATTATCAGTCCTCTGGAATCATGAATGGTCATTGTATTAACCATTCTGCATGTTTTCAGTCTTCTTCCTCTTGACAGTCTTGTTATTGTGTAAATTTTTCTAGTTCTGCTCATTGCATTTTTTTTATCACTTTATAAGAGTCTTCAAAATTGTTCTTTTTTTGTAATATTGATGTCATAGTATAAATTGCTCTTCTATAACTAAAGTATTTACTTTACTTGGCATCAGTTCATACTAGTCTTTCCATGTCTCATTGGAATCATCTGTTTGTTCATTTCTTACAGCACAAGTGTTCATCATATTCATATACCACAATTTATTCTCTCATTCCTTAGTTGATAGCTGTCTTTTTAATTTAAAGTTTTTTACCACCATCTCTTTTGGATATAGGCCTAACAGTGGTATATCTGGGTCAAACGGCATTCACTGTTGGTTACTTTTTTTTAATTCCAAATTGCTTTCTAGAATGTTTGTACCCATTCACAGGTTTATTAGTAGTGCTGTTTTCCCGCAGCACCTCAAAATTTTATTATTTTCCTTTAATGCCATATTTGCCAATCTGATGGTTGAGATGGGAAATCTCAGAACTGCTCTTATTTTCAATTCTCTAGTTACTAGTGTTTTGTAGCACTTTTTCATATGGTTATAGATATCCTGGGCTTCTTCCTTTCAGAACTACCTGTTCATATCCTTAGATCACTTATCAATTGGGGAATGACTCTTATTCTTTTCTTTCATTTTAAAATTGACTGGGAATTATTAAAATTTTATTTTTTTAATTACTGCCTTTTATTTACTTTAAGAGAAACAATGTGGTATAGTGGATTAAATGCTGGTGTTAGAGTTAGGAAACCTCCTACCTTTTACATTGGTTATATGACTATGTGCTAGTCATTTAACCTGCTAGTGCCCCCAGGCAACTCTCTGAGACTTTATATTACAGAACTGCTCATTTGCACTAGGGTGGGGGGAAGACTGGCAGCTAGGTGCCACAGTGGATAGAGTACCTAGCCTGGACTGGGGAAGACTCATCGTCATGAGGTCAAATCCAGCCTCAAACACTTACTAGCTGTGCTACCTGGGCAAGTCACTTAACCCTGTTTGCCTCAGTTTCCTCATCTGTAAAATGAGCTGGAAAGGAAATGCAAACCCCTCCAGTATCTTTACCAAGAAACCGCAAACGGGGTCACAAAGAGTCAGACACAACTGAAATGACTGAACAGCAACATTTGTGGGAAGAACTCCTTTCCCAGGAGTTCCGCATGCTGAGGAAATCACAATGGCAATTCCACATATATACAGCAGGAATACACATGTACACTGAGAAGATCATGGACCCACTCAGGTGATGCCATCATCATATAAAAAATAACAAAAATTTTAATGAAACTTTCAAGCTGCAGGATTCATCTCAAAATCCAGCACTCTTTCCATTAAACCAGAGATAGGGAACTTGCAGCCTCGAGGCTATGTGTGGCCCTCTAGGTCCTCGAGTGCAGCCCTTTGACTGAATCCAAACTTCACTATAATAAAAGGATTTGTTCTGTGAAAATTGGACTCAGTCAAAAGGCTGCACCCAAGGACCTAGAAGGCCACAGGTTCCTCACCCCGGGCCCATGCTCCATGACAAATAGGATTGGGAAAACAAACTTGTATGTCTACTACTACGAGGGAAAACCCATTATTGGTTGCATAGCACATATATTTTAATAAAATGGAACATACTGCCTCAGGATGCCTCTAGGCTAGTAAATTCTCCCTCCCTAGAGTTCTTGAAACAAAGGCGGGATGAATACTGATTGGGTGTGTTGAGTATGTTGATTCTTGTCCAGCTGCCAATTGGATTAGATGAACTCTGATATACCTTCCAAATCTGATATTCCGTGGATGCCTGAAAGGAAAATCACTATTTTAAATGCCCCCCAAAAAAAGTTTTTAAAAAAAAAAACAACAAAAAGGAGTTGTTTTGGCTAAAGTTGAAAGGAAGCACTCATCACTGGATGAAATTTCGGGAAATAAGGAAGACTCCCTCTCTTCTCAAAAAGGAAGCAGTACAACTTTTAACCAAAATAAAGGAAGCCAGGTGATATCAACATAGAACATAAATCATAATCTTCCATATTGGGGAGTTCAGTTCTCTATGGGGCATTAAGCAAATTTAGAACCCCATGAGGACTTCCACTAAATTTCTCCAGATTGACCAACTGTGAAGCAACCTATCCCATCATGACAGTAGTCTATTTATATGCTTTATACTATTGTTAGCTTGATAAATAAGAACCAGTCTACATGATTCAATGGAAAGAGCACTGAATTGGAGTCAGAATACATAAGTTAAAAGTTCATTTCTGCTGTATTACTTATGTGACCTCCTGAAAGTCATATACCCTCTCAGATGTCTGAATTCATCATCTATAAAATGAAAGGCTCAGTTTAAATGACACTGTTGAGAGCAGCATTTAACAAAGGGCAAACTGAGGCAAATTTCTAAGTGAGATATCTTTTATTAATAGGGTACCAAACCTATTAATAACTGGTCTGCCTCACTTTGTACCCTTAAATGACAGCACCTTTTAAACCTGGGTGTGTCTCCTTTCTGATTGGCCATCATAGGCCATTGGTACATTATTTGGACTTCCCTTAGCAAGCATAAGGCAACCTTGATTGGTGGACATTTTAACAAGAAGGTGGGCTAAGAGTTCTCAGTTCCTCCCAATTACTTCAACTTGGTGGAGGGTGGGGGCAGGCAGAACTAATCAGCAGCTGGGGATAGTAGGCTGGCCTTCAGATGTATCTGATTATGCCTTTCTAATCTTTAAAGAATACTAGTAGTTCTATGAGGCCCAGCTGCCTGTAGCAAACAGCTAGAAAGACAAAAAACATCCCCACTAGAGAAAAAGGCACCCCAAAACTTGTTTAGGCAGCAAGGACACAAAAGTCATCCCCTAGGGAAAGCCTAGCTCAAGCTGACTTCTGTTTATGTAGTAAATAGAAGGGAGGGGTCTAGCCCAAGGCTGGTTAAAGAGCTGTTGCTTTGGGGGCTGCGAGCAATCACCTTATTCAATCACACCCTTCAGAAACTTCCTGCCTTTCAGACATGGGCTCTTGTCAAAGTGAGGGAAAGGATGGATCACATAGAAATATTGGTTATTCACAATGTTAATTCTCCTTAACCCTAAAGTCCCCTTTAATTCAAACTTTATGATTCTTTAATCATGGGGCTTTAGAAGTCATCTAGTCTAAACTTTAACTAAAATAGAGGCAGCTAGGTAGCCTAAAGTCAAGAAACCTGATTTCAAATCTGACTTCAGACACTTATTAGCTGTGTGATCCTGGGCAAGTCTCAACTTCAGTTTTCTTAATTATAAACTGGGGATAATAACAGTACCTAATACAAAGGGTGATTGTGAGGATCAAGTGAGATAACATTCATAAAGCACTTAGCACAGTGCCTGGAACATAGTAAGTACTATATAAGTGGTTATTATTCAAAATAGAAATCCTATCAACATTTCTGACAACTGGTCATGGAACCTATGGTATGATGGAGGTCTTTAATACAGCTGAAACAAGGCATTCCAATTTTGGACAGTTCTGATAACTGACATTTCTTTTTTCTGAGTGAGTCCAAAACTACATCTCTACTTCCAAATGTTGGTCTTGGTTCTGCCCTCTGGGACCAAGCAGAACAAATCTAAGCCCTCTTTAACATGACAGCCCTTTGTAGAAGGGAGGGCAGATTGGGGGAGGGGGTAATCAGAAGCAAACACTTTTGAGGAGGGACAGAGTCAAAGAAGAGAATAGAATAAATGGGGCGTGAGATAGGATAAAGGGAAACGTAGTTAGTTCTTTGTGTTTTGTGTGACTACACATGTATAACCTGTATCAAGTTGCTTGTCTTCTCAATGAGAGTGGGTGGGGAGGGAGGAAGGGAGAGAATTTGGAACCCAAAATTTTTGTTTTTACATGCAACTGGGAAATAATATATACAAGCAGTGGGATATAGAAATCTATCCTGCCCTACAGGAAAATAGAAGGGGAAGAGGATAAGGGATGGTGGGGTGATAGAAGGGAGGGCAGATCAGGGGAAGGGGTATTCAGAATACATGTGATCTTGGGGTGGGGAGAGGGGAGAGAAGGAGAGAAAATTTGGAGCTCAAAATCTTATGGAAGTGAATGTTGAAAACTAAAAATAAATTAATTTTAAAAAGAAAGAATAAGAAGCTGGAATCTCACATGAAAATAAATGGAAACAACAAAAAAAATGACAGCCCTTTAAATGTTCAAAATAGCTATCATGTCCCAATGTAAGTCTTCTCTTCTCCAGGCTCAAAAAATCACTACTTTTTTCATTCAATACACATATTACGTAGTTTCCAGTTCCCTTACATAGTTTCTAGTGTCCCTTCTAAAATGTTTACAAAGAAGTAGACAAAGTACCCCGGATATGATCTAAAGTAGGAAGAAGACAATGGGCTATAATCTCTGAACATTATTCACGAAGCTCTAACTTGCATTGGCTCCTCTGACTTCCATATCATACCACTTAGTGTTTCCTTCTTGACATTGTTTCATTCTTAGTATTTGTATCACCAACACATAGTACAGTGCCCTGAACACAGTAGGTGCTAAACAATATGTTTAGTAATTGACTAAGTGACCTTTTTTTAGCTTGCAGCCCATTAAGACCACCCCTCCCCCGCCATGAACTGCTTTCTAGCCACATTTGCCTCTGCCCTGGATATTTCTTTTGTCACCTTAGAAATGTCATTGTTGAAATAAATATAGAGTAATTCTTAAACACAATTTTGCTTCATCTCATTCTGTTTGGCTTTATCATTTTGAAGTCTGAATCAAACTTATAAAGTTCATTAACACAGAATGAATGTTGAATTATTAAAAAACACATATACATACATCAAAGGATTATGGGGCTGGAATTAGTACTATATTGAGGCAGAAGGGCAGTTAAACTTTCATATCAGAAAGTTCATATTGGAAACTTTCATATTTGTTACTCTTTCAGAAAAGATTTCCTGATCTGCCTCAATTGTTTGCTCTTGTGCCAAATAGCCATCTGTGCCAGAATGTCTTCCTTCTGTCTGACCAAAATCCCTTACACTGCTGCTTAAGTCCAAGTTCTTTATGGAGAAGGCAAACTGTGAGTTAACATGATCAGCATGTATGACAACATTCAGTTAACTGTAGACAAACGTTATTTTAAAATCTTTTCCAAACCAAAATAAGTGCCAGAAATACAAAAATGATTTTACACATGATAAAATATACCAACCCCTGTGGCTCCATTGTTAATGGCATTGCTTCTGCACTTACATTTTTGAAGTGGTGAAAACGATGATCACACAGAGTGATTCCCTTTTGTGCCAAGGTGACCTTAAGAATTTTAAATTTTGCCTCATAGAGGGAATGTCCATGTGGATAAAATCATGGAAACATGAAGTATAAAAAATTCACCTATTCAGCTATGACAGATAGTTCCATCAGGAGTACAAATCAGCAGCCTTCTCTTACCCTGTTATCCTCCCTCTCTCTTCACTAACATAAAATCCAGCCATAACCTGGAGGACTTAATCCATTCAGCTCTGACCTCCCAGGGACCTGGCTTCTCTATCTTCATCTGGCTATTTTCTTTCCTGAGGTAGGTATGTGCCCTCTATACCACTACCTCTTACTCTTAGAATTACAATCAAATCAACACTACTATTGCCTCTGGAAAGTAATCAGTGGACTGCCTTATTGCGCTATTCAACATCCTTGTGACTTCCCAGAAAAAAACCACCTTTTTCTTGCTCATAACTCCAGGAGTTTCCCTCTACTATAATGAAAAGTCCTTGACAATAGAGACTTTTTCCCTATGTGTTTATATCCCCAGCACTTAGCACAATACTTTGTGCATAGTAAGTACTTAATACTTTTTAATTTAATTCATTCATTCACTCAATCGTGCATTTGTTTATTCATTTACCCATCTTTCCAGGTTCAGCTCAAGTTTTACCTTCTCACTGAAGACAGATAGGGTTATTTCAGCCCACATTGATCTCACCCTTCTGTTAGCTCCTTATAATAATGAATAATGCAGTTTAACACCTAATTATCTCATGGATAAAAGTGTTTTTCTCAGCTAGGTCTATAATCTCCTTTTGGAATCCCCACAGTTCTTATTTAATGCAGCATACATGATAGGTTTTTATTTAAGTCTTTTGATTGAACCAAATTCAGTCTTTAACCTATTTTCTTTCACAGAAATCTAGCCCATACTTCCAACCATAATCTCCAATATTGTTTTTGTTGTCCCTAATGGAAAAGGAAATAAGAGAGCAATAATACTAACTTATTGACTTGTTGATATAACTGCTTCTTTGTCCACAGTGGTGCTTTTATTGAAGCAAATAGCACTAAATGTTCCCGAACAGATAAGTTGTCAAACAAGACATCATACTGGGGACATACACCCATTTCCATCCTGATGGCAGCAAGCTGTGTCTGCATATCCTTGCCATTAATAATGATGGTACCAGAACTAGGAGGGTACAGTGCTGTCAACAGAGATCTAGAAGAGAAAAGAAATACCTCCAATGACAAGTCAACAATTCACAAAGTCGTGTAGCCATAACACAGGGAGATTCAAAGACATAGCTACGCATCGGTTTGTTCAGTCAGCCATCTAAAATAGTGCTTTTTTCAGATCTTGCCGTCTTTGCCAGGGTTTTAATGGCAATGCTTTGACTGATGATTAACACTAAAGTCATGGCTTTGCCCTTTATCTTTTTTTCAGATACATCCTTTTCTAACACCACGCTCCGGTGCTTCTTCATGGCGTAGTGTCCATTCTGGATACTTCAAGGCTCCGACAAAACACAATCTCTGGCAAATCTTACTAACATGGAAAGGCTTCGAGGAAAGGCCAAGAGTGCCGACTGTATGTCTGCCATCTGTAGACATGCCTAGCTGAGTTCACTGACAAAAAAGTTCACTGTTAGATAATGAAATTTTTGGCCACAGCCAACTTTTAAACTGCGTAACTCACAGAGGAATCGCAATCTTCATTGATAGAGGGAGTGTCCATGTGGATAAAATCATGGAAACGTGAAGTGAAGTATAAGAGATTCACCTTTATCCCTGATAGCTTTGATGTTGTGTAATTTCTTTCAGGTTTTAGGACTCTGGTGACCATCTTTCCTCCATTCACAGAGCCCCCACCCTGTTTCAGGCCCCATCATCACGCCAGGACCATTACAATAACATTTTGATTGATCTCTCTGACTCCAGTCCATCTTCCTCTTAGCCACCAAAGTGACCATCCTACCTAAGATAAGCTACTCAAGTGATACTGAAGCACAGGTCTATGTGATCCCCTGCTGAATAAACTCTAGGGGCACCTAAGATCAAATATGAAATCCTCTGTTTGACTTCTAACATCCTTTACAATTTGGTCTTTTCCTACCTTTCCAGTCTTCTTTACACTTTACTCCCCTCCATGAATGCTGTGATCCAGAGACATTGGCTTTCATCCAATCCACCAATCATCACACATTTTAAGAACCTACTATATACCAATCACCTAAGCTCACAACCTAGAAGTCATCTTAAATTCCTGAATCTGTCTCATCCCCTATATCCAAATCTGTTATCAATCCTGTCAATTTAGTTTTTGAAAGGGGTATATTGCCCCCTTCTCTCCTCTGACACTGCCACCACTCTGGCAGGCCCTCATCACTTCATTATTGCTGCTAGAATATTTCTGTAATAATAATAGATTTATCTCCCTGCCTCAAGTCTCTCCCCACTTCAGTCCATCCTCCACTCATGTGTCAGAATGATCTTCCTCAAGTGTGGATCTGACTATATCATGTTCCATCCCCACCCTTCTATTCAATAAACTCCAGTGGCTATCAATTTCAGGATCAAATAAGAAATCTTCTGTTTGGCATTCACAGCCTTTCATAACCTCACCCTTCCTACTTTTCCAGTGTTTTCACTTCTATATCCCCATCCATATATTCTGAAATCCAGTGACACTGACCCCTTTGCTGTTTCTCAAATGTGGCAGTCCCTCTCTAGACTCTGGGCATTTTCACTGACTATCTCCCATGCCCGGGAAATCTCTCCTCCATTTCCTGACTTCGCTGATTTCCTTCCAATCCCAGTTAAAATATCACATTTTACAAGAAGCCTTTCATGATCCCTTTAATGCCAGTACCTTCCCTCTATTTATGGTTTCTAATTTATAATACTCATACATTTTTGTTTGCATGTCATCTCCCCCATTAGACTGTGAGCTCCTTGACAACATGGACTCTCTTTTGCTTTTCTTTGTATCCCCAGCACTTAGAACAGAGCCTGGAACATGGTAGGTGCCTAATAAATGCTTGCTGACTGAATGAGAGACAAGTATAGAAGGAAGCCCAAGAGCAATTCCAACCCTCCTCCAGTCGCAACATCCGGGTCCAAATTCTGGCTCTGCTGAATGACCTCTGGGATTCAGTTGCATTTGTAAGGTGAAGAGTGTTGACCTATTGATTTCTGAGGTGCTTTCCACATCAAAATCAATAAACTTTGAAAGGAAGAGGAAATTCAGAATCCTAATCTAATGATTCCTATAAAATAGAATTTCACCTTTTTTTTGGCTAATTATAAAGTGTATTTAAGAAGACAAAACACAGCCACAGCTTTCTGAATCCATGTTTACTCTGTCTAGCCATCTTCTTAAAGTACTCAAATGCTAACAAAAAGTTCCATTCTTTCTGTCCTGCCATACTATTTTAGCACCTGAAAAATAGCATGAACTTTATGTAATTTATTTTGGCTTCTTTTACAAATGATTTGTCATTTCCTGTGGACTGCTGGAGTTTTATGAATTTCTTTCTGTCTTAGATACAAAGCAAGCAAAAGTTGGTTAGGGAAGACAGAGAGAGACCATTAAACTAGTCCGATTTAATACAGATCAATCTCCCATTTTTAGTGAAATAAACTGGAATATAGGAAGATACATTCTAATTTTAGCAAAATTATAAAATCCAACATTTTCCCCACTTTTGATACATTTCAGGGATATTGTATAGACACAGTATAACTCCTAGCCTTTGAAGTATCAGAGATTATTTTAATCCTTGTCACACACTTCTATAGCCAAATCTTGCTTTTATATCCAAATTTTTATGTCATTTGTTCATAGACTAAGACAATCTTCATAAGAGCCAGAGTTACCAAAAAAATCTCAGTAGTATAAATGTGATGCTATTTCTTCTCTGAGCTTCATCTTCTTATCTGGGTTCAAGGAAAATTGAACTTAGTGGGGGGAAAAAAATTACATGAGCCATTGAAGTTTGTAAGAACTAAATAAAACATGGTCAATTTCTTACAAGTTCGATTTGCAGGAAATGAGAATGGATTTGTTTTTCATGGCAAAGAGAAAGATGTTTATTACTTCTCAGGGTTCACAAACCACTCCATCCTCTCTGCAACCTACCCACCTCCCTCCAAAGCCTCAAGAAAGCTCTATTCTCATAAGGGCCTAAAAACTAAATTGGATAGTTAAGGAAGAAGACAGATTAAAATTGGCCATTTAGTGGAGCACTGTTAGTTGGACTGATACCATATATTTTGGAATTTTTGCAGTAGAAAGCCAAAATTAGATAACAACTCTCTTGGTTTATAAATCAACTTTTAAAAGAATCAAATTACTTAACAGTATACCATTTTTTAAGCAGACATACATAATTGTGGTCTTTCCAGCACCATTGGGTCCCAGCAGAGCAGTGATTTGACCTTTATAAAATGTGAGCGTAAGCTCTTTAACTGCAGCCTTTTTATCACCTTCATATTCCTTGGTAACTGATACCAGTGTCACTCCTGCATGGACTCTGTCTTCAATTGTTTTCTGCCTATTTGTTGGCAAAGATCCTGTGTGGATGAACAAAATAATGGCATGACACTGCAAGGGCTTGGAAAAATAACAGACATTTATTTAAAATATGCTGGTATCTTCATAATGATATCTACATTGTTCAGGTCTTGAATTGGTTTGGGGGCATTATTTAAAGAAATACACAAAAGTAGATGCACATTCACCATATTCAGCAGATTACAGTGAATAGAGGGTTGGGCTTGGAGCTATGGTTCAAATCCCATCTATGCTGCTTACTATTTGTGTGAACTTGGATAAACTCTTTAACTTCTCTTGGTCTCTTTTCTCCTACTCTATAAAATAAGGAGGCTTGAGTAATTGATCTCTGCAGTCCCTTTAAGCTCCAATTCTATGATTCTAGAAGACTTGGCTTAAAATATTTCCTGTGAAACTTACTAGTTACATGGTCCAAGCTAGATGTTTAACCTTTCTGTGACTCTGTAAACTCCTTAGGACTTAGCTGCTAAATAATCAAAAGTTCACAACCTGCATTGTTGGAATGAATTCCCCAAGGTAAGTAATGACATGTTATTTGCATACTAAAACTACGATTTAATAATGGCTAACCCAAAAGAGATTGCTTAATAATAAAAGTTAAAATTTAATGTGCATTCATAAAATAGAATATTTGACTTAAGTTTTTAAAATGTGGGTTCCCTCAAGACATAAATTCTTTGTATGTACACACTGTCAGTATGACATAGACAGTTGGCATGGTGTAGTAGACACTTGTCTTTGCTTGTCAGTAAGACTTGGGTTCAATTTCTGTGTCTGATACACACTAGCTGTGACCTTGGGTGAGTCATCAAACCACTCAGTGCTCAAGGCCAACGGTTCAATTATGCTGCCCTGCAACAGTGCAGTACTTAGTGCAACCCAAAACTGATTAAAATGTAATTGGGAAATATTGAACAAAATAAATTCAAATATGAAAAAATAGAGAATGGTAATATATGGCTTTCTAAGTCAATAAACAGCCACAGGGATCCATACATACACTTCAGTGGACCCCATTTTTATTGTTCCTATTTGCGACTGACACCACTGCTCCAGGCCAGCTCTTCTTAAACTCTGAGTTGCAACCTCATAAACAATGAACAAAAATTAATTAAAAACCAAACACACAATGAATCTGAGGTGTTTCTGTCGGCTCTTGCCTGTGTTACATCCCACAGCTTTACTGCAGCTTTGGTTCTGAACACAGAGCATGAGTACTTTGCACGTGCCCTTAGGCCGCGCAATGCCAAGGAACACTACTAAGAAGTAAAATGGGGTTGCAAGTGTAAAAAGTTTAAGAAGCCCTGCTCTAGGCAACCCTTTAAGACTCTGCATTGCCCAAGATAGGTGCCAACAGCCCACATAGAGGGAGTTTTCTCAAGAGGGAATTCCCTATACCGATGAAATCTCTGTTCTAGCTCCTCTCCTCTAACTCTAATCATGATCCTGTATAATTGATCACCCTATTTATCCACATATTTAAAATCTATCTAAACCCTAAGCCCCGTGGAAAGAATGCTGAATTGGATGTCAAAAGAATTCTGTTCTAGTTTTGATTCTTATCACCAATTCACTAAGTGACAGTGGGCAAGTCACTCCCTATCCCTGGGGTTCAGTTTTCTCATCAGTAAAATGAAATGATCAGACTGTCATCTTTAAGATCCCTTCTAGTAACAAAATTACACACACACACACACACTCCTATTTTTTGTGATTCTGTCACTGTGATCTTTCTAGGGAATGTTGAATTTTTGGTTACACACATATGAATTATGGGGATAAAGCCCAACATAAGGCTATATACTTGACTTTACATTTGAGATTTTCACATTTTCTTGAGCAAATCCTTTTGGTCCACAATGAATTTTAAAAGAAGACTGCATGTAATTAAGGAATAGAGGAGCCATGAACTTCAAGTATGGTTGCTGCCATGCAGCCACAGAAATACAAAAAGTCACCTGCATGGCAGTCCACAGGAAGGCAAAAGGTTCTTTCTACACGTACTCATAAAGAGTCACTCTAGGTAGGACTTACTGGAAATCACCACTCTCCAAAAAAGCAGATTGAAAAAGTTATCAAAATCTGTCATCTTTTTACAGACCTTTGTTCATGAAGTTCTCATTGACAAACAACAGACTGGAGTTGATATGTTGTTGCTTCATCATCTTGAAGCCACACAAGCTCTGCCAGTATGACATAGTAAAGGGAAAATACCATGGTTTCTTTAAACCAAAATGTCCTAAAAGAAAAGATTACAATTAAAACAAATGAAGCTATTATCTCATATTTATGAGAAGACTCTAAAGAAAACCCAAATATCTGCTTTTGTATCTAGAAAGAAATACAAGTTTAAAATAATATTGATAGTCCCCGCTTTACACATGGCCTATATATAACTATCATGAATGGTGTATTCTCAATGTAGAGACATGCCCCTATTCCCTATGGCAGCAGCTGCCCTTGTCCCCTAACTCAGATGACCTGGGAATATGATAAATCTTTCATTTAAATGTAGAAAAGGACCTTCTTTTCTCTATAGGGAGAAAGTTCACAGATAAATAATTGCAGTTTATATCCTCCTGCCTCTGCATCCCTTCTTTATAAAACCGTGGTACAATCTTCCTACTACTAACATCAGCCCAACCTACGCAACTCCTCCACAGTTCCACCCTCAACTGCAACCAATGCTGTTGATAAAGCATTCATGGTTAAGAGAGGGTAGTGGAAGATCACATATTTCTCGAGTCCAAAGCTAGCAGTTTGGCTACTTTTTCTCGTAGAAACAATGCTCTAAATTCCAGTTAGGACAATTAGGATATGAGGCTTTTGAAAGTAAGGATTATTTCATTCTTTGTATCTGAATCCCCAGAGCTTAGCAGTGCCCCTGGACTATAGTACTGATTAAATACATGTTGATTGATTGAATGGAAATAATAAAATTAATTCAGTTCTATACTTGGAAACTGAAAAGGGAGCTAATAGGAAAAGCACTAAAGGAGGTGAGGAAACCTAAATTTTAGTCTACTAGCTTATGACAATGCGTACCTATGAGGGTTTGGGGGGAGGATCACTTTGTAGAACTTCAATTTCTTCCTCTTTTAAATGATGATAGTAACACTTCTGCTGCCTACCTGATAGGATTCGCCATAATAACAATAAAAACTAGATTTTATATAACACTTTAAGGTTTGCAAAACACTTTACAAATAGTCATTAATTTTGTCCTCCCAACAGTCCTGGGGAGGTAAGTGTTATCATCATCCACATTTTAGAGACATGGAAACTGAAGCAAGAGAAAATTAAATTACTTGCCCAGTAAGGGTCTAAGGCAGGGGTGGGCAACCTTCAGCCTCAAAGCCACATATGGCCCTCCAAGTTCTCAAGTGCAGCCCTCTGACTGAATCCAAACTTCACAGAACAAATAAGTTTGGATTCTGTCAAAAGGCTGCACTTGAGGACCTAAAGGGCCACCTGTGGCCTCGACAGCATAGGTTCCCCATGCCTGGTTTAAGGTGAGATTTGAATTCACATCTTCCTGTCTCTAGGCCCAGCTCTCTAGCTACTCTGACATCTAACTGCCTCTAGTCATGCATAAAACATTTTGTAAACTGTGAACTGTCCCAGAAACATGAATTGGCATGACTATTTCATGATCCTTTCTAGCCCTAGCATTCTGTAACTCAAGCATTTACTTTAAAGGAGCAGTGAGGAGCAGTTTGATATATTGGAGAGAGAGCGCTGAACTTGGACTGAACGGACAGATCTGCTTTGAAATGCTAGACCAATCTCTACAAATTCTATGCCTTTAGCAAAGTCATTTGAAGCTCCTAATTCTCAGATTCCTAATCTGAAAAATGAAAATAATATTTGCACAGAGTTGCTCTGAGGTGTTCTGTACGTTTTAATGCTGTATAACAATGGTTTCTTTTCAATCTTAGGACTATTTTATACTCTTAAAAATTATTGAGAACCCCTCAAAGAGCTTTTATGTGGGTGATATTTATTAATATTTACCATATTAGAAATTAAAACATCTTAGCAGTATTACAAAAATAGTTTTGACCTGGTGGACCCCATGAAAGGGTCTTAGAGATTCCCAAGGGTCCTCAGGACACACTTTGAAAACTGTTGCTCTCTAGAAATGAGTTATTATTATCTGTGATTTCATCTATGTGGGTTTCTCCTACATTGATTCAGGGCACAATCTCCTCCTCTGCCCCCTACCCCTGCAAGCATTCTCATCTTTGAGATTCTTGTTCATGTAATCAAAGGATTAAATAGATTTTTGTCGTATGTCCCAGGAACTTAGCCCCAATCTATCACGTTGGTTCAGTGACAGTTCACATGTTCTGTATTCCAAACAACCAGCCTAAAATGGGTTTTTGGAACAGACCCTCTTTCTAAGATGGGGACAGACTCTAGCAGAATTTTGCAGTCTACCATGAGATTATGTCTCTTTACTATATTTTCTCTACTACAGAAAGTTTGGTTAAGGGTTATAATTTTTTGTCATGATCTTCAGTTTTAAAACTGAAAATCTTAATAATTTAATATTTCAAACAAACACAAGAAGACTCACTGCACTTCTATTTTGTTAGCTTTTGATTTAGTATACATAATGCATGCACAAATTTGTCCCAAACTCTAAAAAGTTCTAATATATCTATTCTGCTATGTCATAAGGATCATTAGGAATGAAGAAATGGCTATTAAATACCAAATAAAAAGAAGAACCAATTCATAACAGTATTAGTCCCATATTAACAATACTCATCCTATATAGGTCTCTAAGTTCATTTTAGTCCATTAAATAGTTTTCTTACCTATGTTGTGCATATAAATGAAATAAAATATGATCATTCATGGTTCTTTTTATTTTCCTAAGCAATTCCATAAGATGAATTCACATTCTTGGAAAATTAAAAGTCTGAATTCCATAAGTCATTAAATCAGGAAAGGCCCATATTACAAGATTTAAGTACTGGCCAGAGATCTTTAAAAAAAAAAAAATCATGGCTGCCTAATTATCAGTTTCAAGGAGATGATGAAAATGTCAAGAAGCAAAGAAATAAAAGTTCTCCTCAATTTTAGAAGGTGAAGGAAGAGCATCGGTATTGTAATAGTTATTAAATTATTTTTAGGTTCATGCTAAAGTACCCTATGTTTTGGTCCTGCCTTTGCCACTAAGTGGCCATATGACCTTAATTAAGTCACTGAAACATCCTATACTTCTCTTTCTTTAGCTGTCATGACCTGCCTCTTGGCATACATAATCTTCATTGATCTCATAGTCCGGATGCTTTAAAGCCCAGCTTTTTAAACTTTCTCTAATTTCTCTTATACTATCGTAACGTCCACAAATCAAAATGACCCAATCATCTGTTGGATGTTTCTTTGTTGACACACTGTTGGCTGAGTTTACATGTATGCCACTCCATGGAACATTTTTTGTTTCTACGCTTGGACCTTTGCCTTTCCAAGTAGTCTATCTGGAGGCAAACAACTTTCAGTTATAGCCAACAAGTCCAGTGGCTTTTTCATGTCGTCAGGCTTTACTATTATGCTGACAAGTAATATTGGTTTGTTCCAAAAGTATTTCTGTAAGTTATTAGTCATGGTGGTAGTATTAAGAATATAAATTATTTGAGGCAAGGATTGTTTTATTTTAGTTTGCATTTTTCCTTTTACCCAGCACAAAATGTTGAATGTAACAAGTAATAATGGCTTATGAATTAAACTAAATGCATTATTGTTATTCTATGAATAATAATTATTATCCGTTTTATATACTGTTTTATGATTTACATATTGCTTTACTCACAAACCTGGGAGGAGTATAGTACAAAAATCATTCTTTCAGTTGTATAAATGAGGAAACTGAGGCTAGTAAGTACCAAGGCAAATAAATTAAAAAGCAAAAACAAAAAAATAAACCTTTTTATTCTTAACACTCCAAAACTGGTAGTATTCATAAAGAACCACATACAGCCATGACAGACCCAATTCTTCCAATATTTGTTAAACTACAATCCTTTCATGACCCTTGCCTACATTCAAGCTAACTATGCAGAGATCCATTTGGCAATTACAATCCCAGCAAGGTGTTTCCATCCTTTTGAATAAAGAGGCTGAATTAGATGATACCTAGGGTCCCTTTCACTTCAGACATTCTCTATGATTTTGTTTTAGTTCATATTTATACAGAGTCCTCAGATAAATCACATGGGTCAAAAATATCTGTCTTTGCTGGGTTTTTACACTCATCTCTGTACCTCCGTCCACCCACTCACCCATACACCTGCATCCGCCCATATTTTTACATCCATCTGTGGCACTAGAACCACATTCAGGGACATATTCACATTTTTCTGGGAGGATTGCTATAAAGTTTTTTTGAGATGAAATTATTGTCTCCATAAGCATATCCTGAGTTCCCTCCTTTCCTTTCTCCTACCTTCTCTCTTAATACTTTATGTAACTCAATTATTACCCCAGTCTCAGCCCCTCTGCTGTACACTCTCTACTCTCAAAGACTGCTCAGCTATTTTATGAATCCACAGTTTCACTAAGTTCTTCAAACCCCTGTCTAGCAAAGTCAACAGCTCAGAGACACCATCTCTATTCCCTTCACCCCAAAGGGCATCAGTACTTTCCTAGCCTGCAAATAAATCAAGTTCCCAGGTATAGGATCAGCGTGTTAAAGAAACTCTACTTCTAACACATCTGCATTTTAATTACAATCAATTCCCCCAGATTCAGGCAGGATGAATAAAGTTAGCACTCTTTCTGAAAAAAAAAAACAGTCAGCATCAGGGCCAAAGGAGGCTACTAACTCAGTCAGCATTGAGGTAGGGAGAAGCAATCATGCCAGCCCAGCTGCTACTACATTGTGCAGCCATTAAGGCAGCAGGCGGCAGGAAGTAGCCTGGCATATTTAAGGAGGAAGAAGGTTCTGGTCCTGGAGCCATTAGATATATCTAGGCTGGGCAATTTTAGTCATTGGGCACTTGGGATTCTTCATCAAGAGTAGGCCCCAGGTGAGCCTACAGGACTTGAGAAGGAGGTCACCACATTGGCTTGAGTAACTGAAAAAAAAAAAAGGCCCTAGGATGGGCATATCCCTAAGTCTCTACCATGATGTACTAATTGGCCAGGAGGCAGATGGTTGGAATCATATCTTTCTCTATTTCCTTTCCCTGATTGTTGGGTGTCCTGTTGTACACTATGCATGAGAAGGTGTCATATTTTCCTGAAACACTTGAGTCTATGATGAACACATCTTTTAGAGATGGTCTTGACTGCATTTCTGAAATACAGCTTATCCTAATAAACAATACACATATATTTGAGAATCTAGACATAACACTTTAAAAAGCTTCCCACGAAAGCCATCCTTCCCCTGCTGCCTGGAGGACAGATAACCTGGATAGGACCTTTCTTTTTATCACTGAGCCTTCAAGTGCGCCAGCAACCACTACTCTGAGATATTATAAAAAGGATTACTTTTCAGTCATCATGACCTCTTAGGCCCTTCTAACTCAGATGCTAGGGATCTGCTACGTCGGATGTATGCATTTTTCAGGAACCTCTAATCCTTCTCAGATAACATCTAATGCCATGAACCGAAACAATCCAAGGAGAAAGGCTAACCAGTAGATGAACAGGAGCGTCCAGTGTATTTTGCTCCTTTGTGTAAGGGAAAACCCATGACTCACGGTACTTATAAGTGCCAAGCTTCCACCTAGGACAGAAAGACAGAGCAAGAAAGAAAGGCACAGGAATCAGATGCCTGACCCTCCTGGTTGAATTCTGAAAGACGCAAAGGGAAAAACAAAAAGTAGCAATCTTCACTAACTTTTAAGAGAATAGCCAAGAAAAGAAAGAAGTCGTTTAATGAGGCATAGCATAAAAGGACATAAATTCAAATTCCACCTCTTCTCCTTAACTACCTATACAAGCTCAGTCAAGTCTCTTCACTTCTCCAGGTCATAGGTTCCTCATATGTAAAATGAAAGGGTGGACTGGATGATATCTAACATAAGTCTGTTTCTGGAGCTGTGACCTATGAAGGTCGTGGGAAGAGACCTCCTACTCGAAATTACTAACATGTGTTATATAGGCTTTTAGATATGTAGAATAGCCAACGCAAAGGAGAGAAGATATCCAACACCAGCCATGTATAAAGACAATGGCAAGTATTTAGTGCACTACTCACCGTGCTTTTCATGTTATAATTCAATTCTCTCAGCCTCATGAAAGTAATCAAAGTCTCTCTGTCTCTGTCTGTCTCTCTCTCTCTCTGTCTCTCTCTCTCTCTCTGTCTCTCTCTCTCTCTCTCTGTCTCTCTGTCTCTCTCTCTCTCTCTCTCTCTCTCTCTCTCTCTCTCTCTCTCTCTGTCTCTCTCTCTCTCTGTCTCTCTGTCTCTCTGTCTCTCTCTCTCTCTCTCTCTCTCTCTCTCTCTCTCTCTCTCTCTCTCTCTCTCTCTTTCCCTCTTTCTCTCCCCATACCCCCTTTGACAGAGTTGGGGAGTATCCAAGAAGGTTGAATACCTTTAATTCTGTTAGTAGGAAAGTTGTAAACAACAGGGCCAAGAGAGCCAGCTGTCTTACACAATATATCAACTGTTTATTCCAGCTGTTCTACCCTGTACCACCACTGATGCCATATAGAAGGGTGACATCCCTGGGATATTTTAGGGTGAAAAATGAGCATTATCATGTGCCTGTGGACTTAATGAGGCTGGTTGACTTTTGTGTTCTTAGGCACTTGAGATTATTCATAAGATGAGACTAAGTAAAACCATAGGACCATAGCAGAACCTGGCCTAGGGTTGGCCAGGTGCTACTGAAATTTCCTTGACATAGGTATACATGGCATCCCAAAAGTCTTAGTGAAGTTTTGGGACACTCTATATATCTCTGTGACTTCCTCAATGAGCAAACCTGCAGGTAAATAGTCAAAGGAGATTGTATTTATATATCCCTTCCATGGTTATATGGTATGCCATTATAGTCTTTTTTTCAGCGGGCATAAAGAACAGCCTCTCATAAAAATTGAGTTTTGAAACAACACTGACCACATAGTGTTCTGATACCCCTTCATCACTCCAAAGGCATGTTTCATTTAACAAATACAAATATATCATGATTAGGTAGAATATAATTATATGAACCAAAAACCAAATGCTAACATAAAGGACAGTACATCACTGAAAAGAAATGCTGGTTTGTTCCTAAAAACATGTCTCGTTACTATGTATATAGTTCCCCAAACTGTTTTAGCTGACATATTTTTATTAATGGTTCTATATAAATTCAGTCATAGTTAGTTTTTAAATCATCCTTAGAATATTTGACTGTTTCCCTCATTTTTAAAATTTGCTTTCTGTAATCTTTCCTTTAAATTAATAAAAGAGAATTCAGTTTTTTATTTCACTGTCATAGATAGAAAGGTTAATTTTCTTTTGTTTTAAGTCTCAGAATTCTTACCAGGAATCAAATTACTGAAGTACCATCCACATATAAAATATGCCATTGAGTCAAAGAGAATCATCCAGCACACCCAACCAAATGTCATGCCTCCTTCTTGTTCCAGAGATTGGTACACATTATTCCACTGAATCCCTAGCAATAAATAAAAAAGTCAGAGCCACATCTGCACATCTCCTTTCACTATATGTCTTGGGGTGATAAGCACATCAATACTGGTGCTCCCAGCAGAGTTAAACAAAAGGAATGTTAATAAAGAGCTCTTCAAATGAAAGTTAGATCAACATTAAACCATTTGAAGAATATCCAACAAAGGATAAACAAAATGGTTTTTTAAAATGTACAGGATCTGTGTGGGAAACAGAAAGAAGTTCAACTTGGCTAGAGTGAACATTAGGTAGAGGAAAGCGAGACTGGTACTAGATTGTGGAGGGCCTTGAATCATAGAAAAGGGAGTCTGAACTTTCCCCCAGGCAATACAGAGCCACTGAACTTGTCTGAGCATGAAATAACCAGATATAAGCATAAGGTAAACTAGTTTGGAAGGGGTATGAAGGAAAAGATGTGAAGATAGGGAGAAGAGAAGAAGGAAGAATGGTTAAGAGACTATGGCAAAAGTCCAGGCAGATGTTAATAAGAGCTTCAATTTGTGTGCCAATAGTAGGAATAGAGAAGAGGGAAAAGATTCAAGAGATACTGTGAAGGTGAAGGAGGACTGAAAGATGATACTAAGGTTTCCATCATTGGATACTGGGGTAAATTATGGCCCCACTGGTAAATTTAGTGAAGTCAGAAAGAAGAGCAAATTTTAGGGGGCTGGAAAACTAGATTTGTATGGGATATGCTGGTTTTGAGGTTCTGTGTTAGTGAGACATTCAGATGGAGCTGTCCTGTAGTCAAGTAAAGGAGCAGAACAGAAACTCAGAAGTGAGGAAGGGGCTAACAAAAGTAATCTGGAGACAACTTGATGGTTTCAAAACATGAGGTGTTAATATGATGCCCGAGGGAGGGCATCAAAGTGAATAGCACAGAGGGTGGAACCTTGGGAATAACCCCCTCATGGAGTCAGGAAGAAGATAAGGAGCCAGTAAAGGAGATAAAGGACTCAGAAAGAAAGAAGAACCAGATCATCACATCTCTGAAATGATGGGGAAAAGACTATCCAGGGCAGAGGGGACAGTGTCATATTCCGCAGACAGATCAAGGAGGATATGACGTGGAAAGAGGGACTTTTGATTTGGCTATCACTGATTAACTGAGGGAGGGTGTGAAAAGTTTAGAAGGTATTGAGGAAATCATGAATCACGAAGAAGTGAAGGTATAGAGTACAGACAACATTTTCCAGAAGTTTGACAATAAAGAGAATGACAGCATTGTTATGATCTATCAGTAGATGGGCGATAAGAGTAAAAGGAAGGCTTTTTTCAATGGTGGATTACCTGATTATTCCTGGAGGCAGATTGGAAGGTGCTATTGAAGATCTCAAAATCAAAGAGAGAAAAAGAAAAGGAGAAGAGAAGGAGAAAGAGAAAAATATTGCTGGAGCAAAGTCCTACAGGTGGTAGAAGGGAACAGGATGGAGGCCTCAAGTAGAGCAATTAAAATAGGGCTACCACTTCTTCTGTGAATCAGGGGGGAAAAAAAGAACATGTGAGTCATGATACTGAGAATTTTGAGAAACATAAGGAATGGTTTAGGAGTTAATTTCTGGCAATCTCAGATTCTTCAAAAAAGTTATCTGCCGTAATTGTAGGGTATAGGTATAGTAGGGAGATGAAGAGAAAGGTAATATTTGCCACAATGAAGGTGGATAATGAAAGGGAGAGGACACAGAGTAGGCACTTAATAAATTCTTGTTCCCAGTACTCCTTCCTCCCTTGACCTCTAGGTCACAGAAAGAATCAAGAAGACTAGAAACTAGTTATCAAATTTTTTATCATTTTGTGGAATATTTTAAAATATTTATTATTTTTAAAACATTGTTCAGAAATTAATCAAATATCATATCAATAATTGAGATATATAAATGCTCATGAATATAAGCACATTCGTAAAAATACATGATGAATGTCTCTATTTGTTTTAATATTTCAAAAATCTGTGATTTAATCAATGTAAGTGTGCCTAACATCAATGCAATTCACAACCCCTCTGTTCCTTAGAACATAAATTTCTGTGGCCAAAATAATATATCATGTAATGCTAGCCTTTCAGTCATGAGCCTTTCCAGTGTGTGTGTGTGTGTGTGTGTGTGTGTGTGTGTGTGTGAGAGAGAGAGAGAGAGAGAGAGAGAGAGAGAGAGAGAGAGAGAGAGGAGAGGGAAAATAAATGAATAGATTAGATAAAGAGATGGAGGATAGATAGATAGATAGACAGATAGATAGATAGATACTCCACAGATAGGGTAAAATTTAAGTCACTTGTCTTTTTTGGTATTCATACTACTTAATTCAGGGCAACCTTAAAGAATAAAGTGTGACACATAAACCTATATAAACTTTAAGTTTCAAGTTTTACTTTAGAGACTTAAACACCTTGGGTGTGGAAAGAAAGAATAATTAGGTGATTGCTTTAGCTCCAATTTGCTATTTCTGCATCTTCCTCCCCGAAAGAGTTGGTGTATTGGATCAACCCTCCCCCCCATACACACATGCACATTACATTTGTCTTACCATAATTCACTGTCAGCCAAGCTCAGCCCCAAGCAATATATGGTCCCAGACCAGAGAAAGTAGGAGAAAAACAAAGAAAAGAGAAATGAAGAGAGAAACAGGTGGGTAAAGGAGAAAAGGAAATGCTAGCTCATTCTTCATGCTCTCCTTCCCAACCAGATCAAGAACAAATGGTAACTTGCAGCATTATTAATATAACCCTCTATTTGCTTTGATACAGAAAAAGCACATTCTTCCCATAGATCTTCTAAAGTCCCTAAGGAGTCTCTGTTGGCAACCATAGTTAAAATCTCAAAGCAAAAAGAAAAATTAAGGTGAGAAGAAACAGAGAAGATGTTCACAAAATGAAAGAGCAAAGGAGAGGGAAATATGTGATTAAAGATAGTATAAAGCAAAATATGAGGGAGGGTAGAGGTAACTTATATTTCTACTTTAACTAAAGGTAAAAGAAATAGGAAATAATCGACTACAGTAGGAAAAAAAAAGTCATCATTTTAAACCCATCCATTATTAAATGAAGTCTTTCTTTTTACTAAATCCTATAGAATATATTAAAACTCACAAATTTCCAAAAATTGTTATTTTTAAGCTTTAATTATTAAAATATCATTCAGGAAAAATCCATGCTCTTACCTGCCTCTTGTCCTTCTAAGAATGTAATGAAAAATACACCTTGCCCAAAGGCAGTTGTAGATAGAAAACACTGTACCAATTGATAAGAGAAAAGATGAGAAGAGAGACATTAGGGTTTTTCATTGAATAAAAGAGCAGGTCCAAGAATAAATTCCACTTGAGAAACAGTGAACCATTAATATTCAGATGTACCAAACAGTTGCTCTGGGCAACTACTTAAATTTCTGAACCTGAAAAATTTAACAGAATACCAACTCACTTTTTAAAGAGTTGATAACAAGTTAGTTATTAATGTTAAAAGGAATTATTTCATTTTTCTGCAGTTCTTGAAGTGTCATAAATCCAATGTACTACATGTTGAAAATACATAAAATATATCAGCAGAAAAGAGAATAAAGCACCTCTTTTTTTTTTTTAATAAGTGAATGCCCTAGAGCTTACTAGAGGTAGAATAATGGAATGAATAGAATACTATCTGCTGGAAAGGAATTCTATTGCGGAGAAATATTATTTTATCCACTGAAAACGGCAAATATACTTCACTACAATGGAAAAGACAAAAAGCATTTCAAGCTGAAGAATACAATGTTATCAGAAGCAGATGGTTAGTCTAGTCTTTTAATTACAGATGAAAGTAGACCGAAAAATTGCTGAATAAAATCCTTAAAATCTTGACATCAATAGAGGAAAAGAAGTGAGACAGATTGAATTTTAAATAATAGGTATGGCCTGTATTTTCTTTGCCAAATATTTTATTGTTTTTCTATTTCTCCTGGATACTATTGAATACACTTGGTTAACAACACAATAATAAATAGAAAGGTATTGCCATTATTTTAATAGCAGCTGGTAAAAATTCCAGTGTGAAGTACTGAACATGTTGGGAGCCATGATTTTAGTTAATCACACAAAACCAATCATCCTAGTGAAACACTAAGGCAGAGGAGACTTAGTAGATAAGTTCTAGAGAGTTGCCTGAGTTACACAGGGATGGTAAATTAAGGGGGGTCACATGGCTAGTCATCAGATATGGTATTTGAACCATTCCTTTTCTGATTCCAAGACCAACACTCTATCCCTAAGTTCATGTTCCTTACAACTTTTCATATGCTTGCTTTTTCATATGACTGTTAGTCTAATATAGATTAATTCTCTTTTCCTCTTTCCTTCTTTCTTTGCTTTGTTCCCACCTTCCTTCTCCCTTTCTTCTTGTTTTCTACCTTTCCTTTTTTTTTAGAGTGAGATGATTTTAGAAATTGAATAGAAGTCATTTAAATATCTGAAGGGAAATACTTTTTCCAGGAGGTACATGAGTGATTTTGACATTGCTAAAGGAGGGATCACTCCCATTAATATAATACAATTCACAAGTACTTCAATAGAATGCTTAGGTCTGCACTTATCAAATGTCTTTAGAAATGTCTCTTTTTGTTTCATGAAAAAAAACAAAGCTAATATGCTACAGCTTAGTGTTTTCTTTTGGATGCTGCATTCCCAAAGTGTCTTCATTCAATATCCTCTATCACATTAATAATGGCAGCATTCAACAGGCTATCACCCCACAACATCATTATAATCTCACAGAGCCATGGCTGCCAGGCTTGGATCTATGAGCAGAATAATGAAAAGGAGACCTTTAAAAGGTTGTTATTCTTGTCATTGATTTTTTGACACCACCTATAAATCCGTCCAAGTAGGGAACTCCCAGTGTAGAAACTTCCTCCCCCCATTCACATCAGCAACTCTTCTCCAATTTATTGTTTTAAGAGAGCTGTCTGGAGCCTGAGACATTAAGAGACTTATCCCAAGGCTAAACAGCTAATGTGAAGAGTCAGAGGCAGGCCCTAAGCCCAGATTTTTTTAACTCCTTCAAACTGCTATACCTTATTACCTCTCCTGAAATAGCCCTAAAATAGACTAAACTAACAGGTCAAGTTTGTTATTCTGTTTTGTTGAGAGACGGGAGGAGTAGGGCATAGAGCCATGACTTACCAGAACTGTCTGAATAGCAAAACTTAATTGGTTGTGTAGGACTAAGAGAACTATGTAAGGCAAAAAGCTGATCATATACACCAAACTGGTACACAGGGCTGCAGTATTGGCACTGCTGAAAAATGCACTGAGTAAGAAGCTTAGCATGACGACTGAAACTCCGAAGTCCAGAAGGAAGAGGAAAATGATGAAAGCATTGCTATGCACAAAGATGCCACTTGTTTTCAGGATGATGGCCAGAGCACAGCTGCTTATAATAAGCATGACGATATTCTCCAGAAACCAGGCAAGGAAGTTAACAGTAGGGTGAACACCCATCATCCTCATATACTGTCAAGAGAAAGAATCTTGAATTACCATTAACCATGAAAAAATGGGAAAGAATAGGACAGTTAAAACTGGTCCAAGTGGCTTTTAGCCCCAGTGCTGCTACCAAGTAGCTAGGTTGTTTTAGGTAAATTGTTTTACCTCTATGGACCTCAATTTCCTCATTTTTAAGTAATGACCAGAACAAGATTATCTCTGCTGTCCCTTCAGGTTTGGCAAAAATACTAGACTTCTTTACCAGATAAAATGGGGTGGGGGGGGGAATCAGAATTTGATGGAGAGACAAATCAATCATTACATTTATTTCAATGAATCCCATTTGCTGTCACTGTTGGCTTAGCAGGAGGATTTTTTTTAATGGGGGAAGAAGAAAAGGATAAAGAGCCAGAGAATGTATATCAAACACAGACTCCCTCTTAGCCCTTCAGAAACAATGTCTTCTAATCTTTTTTTTTTTAGACAATTGGGGTTAAGTGACTTGCCCAGGGTCACACAGCTCTAGTAAGTGTCAAGTGTTTGGTCTGAGGCCAGATCCGAACTCAAGTCCTCCTGACTCCAAGGCCTGTGCTCTACCCACTGCGCCACTTAGCTGCCTCCAAATCTTGAAGTAAAAAATGGGATCAGTCCCTTATGTCATTAGGAAAAGTTATGAAAAGAATAAGATCAGTTAATTAATTAAAATTAAAATTCTTCCAAATATAATTTACTTTGCTTTCTCTGAATTTTTAGTTTACTATACATAAAATAAAAAAGGATAAACTAATAAACATTTTTCAAGTATCTGCTATATACAAATCACTGTGCTACATGCAGTGGAAGATGCTAAGAAGTATAAAACATAGCCTATACCTTCAATAGGTTCATGATATAATTTGAGAGGTGAATTTTAAATTCATGAAAAAAATTAAACATATACACAAGAGTTAAATAATACAAACTTTAAGTGTCTATAGCTGTGTGGAAAGCAAATGAGTTGAGAGGCAATGTGGTATACAGGAAAGAAGTCAGAACAATCTTGAATTCAAATCCTACATCTGAGACGCACCACCTACATTACCATGGGCAAGTCATTTTTCCTCTCCAAGACTCAGTTTCTTCATCTATAAAATGGGAAAATATTCCCATATCACTAGCTCACAGGATTATTGTAAAATGAGGTTAGGTATGTAGCACACTTTGTATGTGTTTTATGACCTGGTCAAGTTGACAAATATTGTTTTCTCATCTGTAAAACGAACAAATGATTGATGTCTTCCTTCTGCCTCAATGAGATTATAATGGTGGATGATTGGGCTGTGATGTAGCTCTTTCCTAGGAACGTATTTCAGGACACGAACATTTTTTAAAACTAGCTTTAACATTATTTCAGTTCGTGAAATGTAGCATGACCAAATGAGGCAAACCAAATATCCCTTCATGCCATCAATGCCAAAAGCTAGGTACCTGACAGACTGTTTTCTTTCTAATTCTACCTCTCCATTCTTTTGAGAAACTTTTGAGAATTTGCTGAGGGAGCAACATCCTTGAGTAAAGACAGTTAGATTTTTATTCTATTGTCTCCATCCTTTGTCAGTACCCCTTAATCTCAAAAGAAAGAAGCCTTTTTGTGCCAGCAGGGGTTGAGGCTCCAACTTAAGGCAGTTTTCCTCAGAATCTGACTTGACAGCAAGACTCTAAATCAGAAACCCAGGGACTGGAGTGAATATAAAACAGGTACATTTGATTCAACAACACCCATTTCTACTCTACTTTTAGGTTAACAAAGCTTTTTCTTCACAATATTCTTATGAGCAGGGAAGTGGAAGTATTTTTATTCCCATTTTATAGATGAGGAAATCAATTCTCAAAATTGTGACATGCCCAGGTGGACTCAGCTAATATCACAATTAGACCTCAAATCAAGGTCTTTTTAATCTGCTCCATCACATTAGCCCCCACAGAACTCAAATGCCACAGTATAGTAATAGGATGATAGTATTTAGAACTTCAAGAGATCTTAAAGATGATTAACCTCAATACTTTCATTTTATAGATGAGGAAACTAAGGCAGAGAGTGGTTAAAAAAGACTTCCCCATGGTCATACAGGTAGAAATTATCAGCACTGGGACTCAAATCCAGATTCTTCAACCTCAAAGCCAGTGTTATCTTGCAGCATTAATTTTTCATTTCCCTCTTTGTCCTAACCAGTTCTGCATTTGTGGTTAAATAATAATAATACCTCTTCAAGACGAATCTCTCTCTCATAAACCAGCTTTCGGACCATACTAGCTACAGATACCATCCATGTCAACATCATTATCAGTGGAAAGAAGAAGCCAACATTGTTCAAGAATCTGTAAACAAAAGAAAAGTCTGTAAGTATCGACACAGCTAAATGACAATAACCCTTTAGTAAAGGTGTATATCAGGGGTGGGGAACAAATCCAAAGGTTGGATTCAGTGAAAGGGCCTCACTTGAAGAACTAAGGGCCCATATGTAGCCTCAAGGCCACAGGCTCCCCACCCCTGCTATACATGTTCATGTTCATGACCTTTTAAAAAATTGATAACTGTATTTCAGTATAAATGATTTCAATTGTAATACTATGTATTTTGGTTTTTGTATTTAAAAACATTATGAGAACAGCTCCAAGGGCTTTCTCAGACTGCCAAAGTCAAGTAAAATCAAGAAACATTAAGCACTTACTATGTGCTATGCATACTTAGAAGTACTTGAAATACAAAGAAAAACAAAGGAGGCTTTCAGGTCACATGCCCAACAAAGTGGAAGATCTGACATTTTCTCTGATCCTCCTGACCTCTCAAACTTTTCCAAAACAGAAATTATATGTCAGAGATAAAGAAATTTCAGCTATCTCAATGGTCTAAGACACTAAGAACCCAAAGAAGGTAGCAACTCTATGAATTGATACCTAATTCATGCTTACTCGGTACCCCCTCTCTCGTTCAACAATGTTGAATAAGCCAACACAAGACACAAGATTGCAGCAGAATGTAATCCCACATGCTGACCCCGCTCTTTCTTCCAGAACCATAAATATCCACACTCCAAATACCAGAAATTTTCCCAGGCTTCAACAGTGGCAATATGGCAACACTCTATATTGCTGAGGCAGAGAACTGGGGAGCAGAGGAAATAGGGCAGGACACAGTGGAGGATGGGGCGAAGGGGCATGTGTGGTCCTTTGGTATGCCTGAATGAAAGAACCCAGCATCCTGCCAAGTCCAATTCTGTCCCTCCAAATAATATTTGGACTAATACCTAGGCTGGTGAACCATAATTTGCCCAGCATGAGAGGAGATTGAGATGTTTTAAGATTCAGTGCCCAGGGAAACTACCATCAATAGGAAGGCAGTCAGAAAGTGAGCAATAGGGCACAATATGGAGGGTAGAACTGGAATCAAAAAAAAAAAAAGACTGAAATTTCCATAGATATCAAAGATCTTGAGCATAAACAGATAAACCAAACAGGGAAGACATTAGCAATAGAAGAAAATATGGTCTACAGATCTATTAGAAGCCAGTTCAGGCTTCTATCAACAAATATCAAAAAAAAAAAAAAAGATTTAACATCAGAAACATCAGATGAGTCAGAAAACCATGTGGATTTATTTTGAGGAGAGCACGTAACCACAACATGCTTTTCCTGAGTGGTTTAAAATAGAAATGAGAAATATGAGAGAAGAATTTATGCCCTACACAACAGAAATAATTGGCAGAGTAGAAAAACTTGAATCTATGGAAGCAAGTCTCACCAAAGAAACAAGAGAAAACAATAGAGTGGGAATACAAATGCACAGAAGTAAAGGACAATCTGGAAGAAGAGAAGCAAAAATAGTGACGGTAAGAAAAAATACATTCTCCACACAAGCAAAACATGTTGATCTGATAGACAAGCTGCATAGAGACAATTTAAGGATTGTATGTCTCCCAGAAAAACATGACAAGTCAAAAAACCTGAACACAATAATGAAAGAGCTTCTGAGCACAGAAAAGAATCAGTTGAAAAAACCCATAGGGGCAGTTAGGTAGCGTAGTGGATAGAGCACTGGCCCTGGAGTCAGGAGGACCTGAGTTCAAATAGGGTCTCAGACACTTACTAGCTATGTGACCAAGTAACTTAACCCCATTGCCTAGCTGGCCCCCCAAAAAAATCCACACATCAGCTCCAGAAAAGCAAAAGGATTCTATAACATTCAAAAGGTTAAAAACCCCTGCTTTAGTGTCTGGGAAATGCTTTATTTTACATTTTCTTATATTCTTTATTTCTTGGGGAAAAGTTAAATTATTCTGGATGCAGCTCTATCCTTTCGTTTCTGAGAGGGAAGGAGAAAGGGACCAGACTTCTGATTGAAGTTTAGAGTTAGAAGGGACTTAAGAAGCCATGTGACCCAAATCCCTCAGTTTACAAAACAGGACAAAAAAGGGTAGCTATCTTGCCCAAGATTATACAGCTAATAAATGCTAGAGTGAAAAGTTGAACCCAAGTCTTCCTGAATCCAATGTTCTATCCATTTAGCAATGCTACCTATCATTACATTGTTATAGATGTTACAGGGTTAGAACTTATGATCTCTTAAAGTCCCTTGTACTCTAATTGTAGAATTCTATCATATTTATGTGAATTGGGTTCATTTGTTTTTATTTTCTAGGACTGTCAGTAGCTACTGAACATGTGTATGATATATATAACAACTTAAAAGAGGAAAGGACCACTTAAAGGTAAACTTTTTTAAATTATTAGGCTTTTTATATTTTTTGATTTAGAAAATTACAAAGAATGTAAGCATAAATAATAATGAATATTATAATTACTATAATTATTTTTACTATGCTATTATCATACATCTAATGTTTATACACTTATTTTAAATTTAGCTAATATCTAAGACATGGTTTATTTTGAGAAAACTTGAGTGTTTTAGATTATTCCATTTTATAAATATTTTGTATTTTAATCAGTTGACATCTTATTTTCCACATAGTTTTTAGAGCAGGTAAATATACATATGCAGAAAATGTCATAAATAATATCCAATTGTACCATAATAATAAACACCATATGTTCTTCTGAAAATAACACAATGTACTATAGTAATAAAACTTAAATGACCCATATAATTAAAACAATTAATCCTTAGTCTATTTTTGAGGTTGGCAAATTTTGCCTATTTGTTATTCAGTTCCTTACATTTTATAAAAGTGCGAGTAGAAGTGATGACTATCGATCCTATCACATTGCATATTCTCACAGAAACCAGATTCCAGTAAATGAGGAAATAATTAATATCTGCAAATCTGACTCAGCTTTTATTATAGATATGAAATCATACACAGGGAAGGAAACACCAGGCAACAATGTTTTCCTTTCTCTACAAAGGCTAACCTTCTGAAGAAGCATACAAATTCATTTCTAAAATGCTCCGAAGATGACCTCAGTAGGTAATATCGTTCATTTTCCCCTCTACAGGAAAAGCTTAACCAGAGTTATTTAGGTTTTAGCCCTTGATCATTCTCTTAAACTGTTTCACTTTTAAATATAAGTTTATAACATTACAATTTTCACCAAAAATTAAAATTCTTCTCCTATGCTTGTTTTATAATAATTTCTGTTTACTCTGTCCTCAAGAAACATTTAAAACAGATATGAATAACAATTCCTTTTTTGTGAATGATGAAAAGACATTAGATTTTTCAACAATCTTTATTTCTAACTTATGTAGGGATAGTTTTCATTTTTCTTTTAATTCCTACCAACAGAAGGTAAGACAGAAATAAAAGAACCAAGTGGTAAATATGGATAGCTACAAAAATAGATTAAAGTTGCTTCTCCAAAGAGATGAAAATAAACTCCAGTAACTCCCTAATACCTGTAGGTATTAAAATTAAATACCTATAAGTATTTAAAAACCCTCTGGCTTTTAAAGACTTTCATATCTGGCTCTTTCCTACCTTTCCAATCTCAGTCTCTCCTGTCTCTCTCCTGTCTCTCTCTGTCTCTCTGTCTCTGCCTCTCTGTCTCTGTCTCTCTGTCTCTCTCTCTGTCTCTCTCTCTCTCTCTCTCTCTCTCTCTCTCTCTCTCTCTCTCTCTCTCTCTCTCTCTCTCTCTCTCTCTCTCTTTCCCCTGACTACCTTCTACCTTCTAGTCTCAACTGAAATCTCATCTTCTAAAAAAAACCTTTCCTGATCCACCCTTAATGCTAGAGCCTCCCTCCAGTTTATCCCCTATATATCTTCATTTTACATAATTACTTTAATATTGCCCCCTCATTAAATCACGAACTCCTTGAGAGTAGGGAATATTTTTTGGCTTTCTTTGTATCACCAGCACAGAATAGGCTGGCACATAGGAGGGTCTTATTAAATACTGTTAACTAGGTTCTCTCTCCCAACTCTCAATACAGTAAGATTCTACAGGGCAGGAACTTTTTGTTTTCTCTTTGACTCTCCAACCGCAGCACAGATATTACACATAGTAGATACTTAATAAATGCCTGTAAAATTGAATACCTCATTTTGTCATGGAAAAATCACTACAGAATTATTGGCTTACTGACACAAAACAAGGTAATATTAACCCAATTTCTCCAAGTAGAACTTATAGAAGTATTTCTCACTTCCAACTTCCATTCCCTTCTTTTCTTTTCTTCTTCAAAGTATACACAATGGAGTATCCTAGGATCAGGCACTTCTAACACCCATCTGAGTCAAGATCCAAAAACCCCAGGGATGGGAAATAGACAAAGTCATTCTTCCACTGAATATTCTTGGCTTCATGACCAGGTTAAAGAGGATCATAGTCTTTCATTTCTTTTAGGTATTTTTTTAATGTTTGGCATAGGATCATTGGAAATTGCTCTCTACTAACTCTAAATACATTGCAATTTCTAATTTTCTAGATGAGGAAAATGAGTCCCAGATGGATTAAGTGACTTGTTCAGTGTCACAGTGGTAGCAAGTAGCAGATCTAGTTTAAACCAAGCTCCTCTTACTCCAGATCCAGTGTCCTTGCCACTCTATCATATGTGTGAATTCTTCCTCTTTGTCATTCTTGTATTAAGGTAATTTGACCAGATTGAATCCCTACAGATTAAGTCATCAACCATCTCTAAAGTACCTATCATGTTCTTGGCACTGTGCTAAGTATTAAATGCTAAGTTTAAGAGCATCAATAAGTACTTGGAGATCAAATATGAAAAAGATAGTCTCTACCCTCAAAAAGCTGACAATCTAATGAGGGAAGACAATACATAAGAGGAAGCTGAAAATTGGGAGAGGCAAATGAATCTGGAACATGGGGTAATGATAGAGAACTCCAAAGGAGAGCATGCTGCCAGGTGGGAAACAACTGGAAAGGAACATCTGTCTTTAAAATGAATCTCCAGTGTCTTGAGCAATAGAGCTCAATAACAACGTCATTTGAAATAGAACCTTAAAAGAACTGCTAGTCTTCATTGTGAAGGTAAGAAAATCTAATAAGTGAAATTTGTGGCTAATTATACTTCTTATAATGAAATAAAAATTAGTCACTCTATAGGGGACATTTAGGATTCATGGACTTAAAACATAAAAGCTTATATTTTACATAGCTCTAGAAGATTATATTGAAAGAGGAGAAGGGTTGTGTCTAATATTCTTAGAAACAAGCCACTTCTTAGGGAAGTAGAAATAAATTCTCTCCAAGGTGGCACAATGGATAGGGTTCTGGGCCTGGAGTCAGGAAGACTCATCTTCTTGAGTTCAAATCTGGCTTCAGACACTAGTAAGTGTGTGACCTCGGGCAAATAATTTAACCCTGCTTGCCTCAGTTCCTCATCTGTGAAATGAGCTGGAGAAGGAAATGGCAAAACACTCCAATATCTTTGCCAAAAAAAAAATACCCCAAATGCTGTCATGAAGATTTAGACACAAAACAAGTGAACAACAAAAAGAACAAATCTTTTTAGATTGAAAGTCAATAGAACATGAGAAGATGAGCAATTTACTCTCCAGCTACTCCCAACTATTATTATAATGCAACTTTTTAGCGCCTAATCCTTTATTTTTACTAAATATTATATTAAGGACCCAGTTAGTGAGATGCATCCTGTCCCAGAGGTCAGAGAATCAGTCTCTGATTTAACTTAAAGAATGAGAGACAATTTGGTGCAGAGAAAGAAGCAAGGATTTAGTGTTAGACTGAGTTCAGATAGTGGTACTGCTACTGACTACTTGAATAAATTTGGGCAAATCATTGATACTCTCTAAGCCTTAGTTTCCTCATCTATATATTAAGGATGTTGAACTATTTACTCTCTGAAGTTTCTTCTAGCTCTAAAGGCATTAGAACTACAAAGGGGTGATACAAAAAGGTGTGTCTTTTTGCACATCCTGACTCTTAAGTTCAACACTCTACACACTATGCCACCCAGTTACCTACCTCTTATATGAGGTGAAAACTTTGACTCTGAAATTAAAAGACCCAGGGCTATCATCATAGAATTAGAATAGGAAAGGACACTACAGATCATCTGTTCTGATTCTCTCATTTTATAAGTGAAGAAACTAAGGCCCAGAGAGATGGTGCTTGCCTCTCCAGCCAAGGATATCCATGACAACTTTAGCCTTGTGGAAGGACTCATGATCACAGTCCATGCCATTATTGCTACCCTGAAGATGGTAGATGGCCCCTCTGGCAAGTTGTGGTGTAATGGGCATGGTGCTGCCCAAAACATCATCCACTCATTCCACTAGTGTCGCTAAAGCTGTAGGCAAAGTTATGCAGACATGGCCTTCCGTCTTCTTACTCCTAATGTATCTGTTGTGGATCTGCCCTGCTGCCTGGAGAAATCTGCCAAATATGATGATATCAAGAAAGTAATGAAGCAAACATCAGAGGGACCTTTAAAGGGCATCTGGGGCTACACAGAAGACCAGGTAGTATTCTGTGATTTTAACAATGACATTCACACTTCTACCTTTGACTCTAGCACTGATGTTGCCTTTAATGGCCATTTTGTCAAGTTTATTTCCTGATATCACAATGAGTTTGGTTATATGAACCATGTAGTAGACCTCATGATCTAATTAGCCTCTAAGGAGTAAAGTGGAAAGCCATGGATCTTCATCCCCAGCCAGAAGAAGAGTTCTACCACTGGGGAGTCCCAATCTATTCCCCTATTCTGGGGATCTCATGCCCCATTCTCAGTCCTTGCCCCAAAGCATCCCGGCAGTAGGGGAGAGAAACAAAAAGTCCTATGTTGCATATCATCAATAAAGTCATTGTGTTCAGTGCAAATAAATCACAGATAGATATCAATATAAATATGTGTATATGAAGAAAAGAGCAACCCCTAGCAGTAATCAGAAGACCAGAAGAGACTATATGCCTAAAATGAACCAAATACCCAGCAGCGACCATATGATATGCCTGAACAAGGGAGCAGGGCCTATGAGAACATTATTATAATGTTACCAGAGGATATTGATTGTCATGCCACAGTAGGCAAATGAATTGCCTACCTCTCCTGGGGCCACCTTTCCCCTCATAACCCATGAGAGGAACAGGTCGTCCCCTTTCCCAATATGACTGCAACCATGATAGGACTGTCCTCTATACCATTGCCTTGCCTGTCCCCCAGTTACTATAACCCAGGCATTAAAAAGGCATACTTATAACTCCACAGAGCATCTTATTTAATTCAAGTCAATAAGAATTTATTTTATACCTTCAACGTGTGTAAATATACAAAGTTTACAAAAATCAGAGTAACAGTTACTGACCTGGTTTATAGTCTCTTAAGAAGATATGACATAAACACAATAAAATCATGCCTCAAAGTTGGAAGGATCCTTAAAGGCTATTTAATCTTATATATTCCTATACAGAAAATGTTTTTATAATACCTTAAGGGACAAGTGGCCATCCCACATTAGAGTTAACCCACTACCTTCTGAAATAGTCTATCAGTACATGGACTATGTGTCATATACTCCAAGTGTCAATACTCCAAGAATCTGAAATTTCATTGGTGCTGGTATTCTACTTACATACATACATGGAGAGAGAGAGAGAGAGGAGAGAAGAGAGAGAGAGAGAGAGAGAGAGAGAGAGAGAGACAGAGACAGAGAGAGAGAGAGACACAGAGACACAGAGAGAGAGAGAGAGAGAGAGACACAGAGACACAGAGAGAGAGAGAGAGAGAGAGAGACACAGACTTCAACCCCTCTGCAACTTAATTGATGGTTTTAAGGAATTAATTCAAAAATTCATCACCGTGGAGCCAAAATGGTGATGAGCCTCTTTGAATTTAATTAGACAGATCCTTGGCTAATAGACACTCAGAACACCCATCAGACCTGTGCATGATCACATAATGGACAACAATGAAGGTAAAACATGATAATAAGTACATAACAGAGGTGTAGACATAATGTTACATGAGATCTGATGTAGGAATAGTCATTAGCTATTTAAATGATTTAGGAAAATTTCCTACAGTGGGTTGTTTTTGATCTGGGCTTTAATAGTTAAGTAGGGATTCAACAAGTGGAAGGGACAGGGCATACTAAACATGAGCAAGAGTATGAACAAAGGTATAAAAACAGTAAAATTCAGAAATTGTCTAAGGGGTAATAAAATGGCATGGTCTGGACAGAGTATATAATACACAGTAGTAAGATCTTATATTTAAAGCTAGAAGGAAACTTAGAAGTTATCTAGTCAAGCCCTAATTTTGTAGATGGGGTAACTGAGGCCAGAGAAATTAAGTGACTTGTTCAAAATCCCAAAGATTTGAACTCATATCCTCTTGACCTGGTAGAGAATTCTTGCCTCTGTACCACAATGAGATAAAGCCATAAAATAGGGGAGGAGTCAAACTAGGAAAGTTCTTAAATATCGTGCTAAAAATTGTAAACTTTATTTGGGAAACTCAGAAATTGAATAGTTTTGAGTAGAGTGCCATGACCTGATTTATCCAAATGGAAGTACAGTTGGGCAGAATTATGAAAGATGGATTAAAGGAAGGAGTGGAGGTGAAAAAAAATCTGTTGGAAGGCTATATTTATAATTTGTGTTGGTAATTATGTCTAATAATATGATGGTAGCAGTCAGAATGGAAATGGGGGAGGAGGTAGAGATTTGAAGATTGAATTAACTTGACTTGGTGATTGACTGGAGATGAGAAGTGAGGCAGAGGGAAGAATCATAAACAGTACCGAAGCTGACATGAGAGAATGGGTCAATGACAGCGCTTCATTAGTTACAGTGATGTCACAAGGAGAAATAGCTTGTGTGGTGGAGTTGAGGAGAGATAAGCTTTCTTTGGGATATGTTGACTTTTAAGTGTTCAGCTGGATGTATGGGGAGAAATGTCCTATAGGAATCTGAATATGTGGGTATGGAACTCCAAAAGAATATCAGGATTCAGTATATAGATTTGAGAGACATTTGAATAGAGAATATAGTTGAATCACTGGGGATTTTTGATACACTTTCTATGATACAAAATACAGCATAATATTTGTCTGTCTTATTCTCCCCTCCTAGAGTGTAAGCTCCTAGAAAACAGAGACTTTGTCTTATTCGGTTCTGTGCATCCATGCTGAATGGAATTAAGACACAGAAACGAAAATAATCTTGTCAAGGTTATTTATGAAATCAGTTTTAAAGTTAGAAATACAATCCTATTTGCCTGGTGTCTAATTCATGTAATCCATTTGACCAGACTATCATGGCAAAGTTATTGTTTGATGGCCACCAAAATATCTTAATTATGTAAAATTAAATTTCAAAGTATTTGCTTTCTGAAAATGTTGCATTCGTCCCTCTCTTAGGGAAAGTACAGAAGTATTTTTTGGTTATCCACATGTGAACCTTTTTGAGTTATGAAAAAATATTTAAAGACATCCTGGTTCTAAAACCCATTTATATTTGATTCAACAAGGACTCATTAAATTCCTACCATGAAACAAAGCCATTCCTGCCTTCAGAGCACACGTGTTCTATCAAATATGAAATTCAACTTACAAGTCACTGGTGTGGCAGGGATATGGCATGGCTTGGGCTTGTATTGGTGGTGTCAACGTATCTAGTCCGGTTTGCACCAAAATGATGGCTCTTTCAATCATGTCTTGCAGAGGAACAAAAATGTGATTGTATTTGAACCCATCAGCTGGAAGACTTTGGGGATGGAATTTCCACAAAGGGTTTTTGACCAAATCTGTTCTCATACTGTACAGAACACTGGTTCTAATTGTATAGATGAAATGATGTGGGAGGTCAAAAAAATCTGGTGCGTGTCTTTTGCTGGTTAAGGAACTGTTGAATATAATACCTAATAGAAGAAAAAAGAAAAGGAAAGCATTCAGTCCTTTTGATGGGTCACACAGAACCATATAGAACTGATATTGGATAAGCAAATCTTTTTTTTTCTTATGTAAAAGAACTTTTGAATTTTTGTGTCCTATTTTTTAAAAAAGAATTGTTGTACTGAATTAGACTCTTCAATTAGCTAGAGTTCCTTCCTATGAAAGATAGATGACGTCAAAGAACAGATAGCGTTCACAGTGCATTAATCAAATGGGCTCTCAACATGTACACAAATCAAGAAGTCACTGGGTTTTGCCAATGAGATAACACTGAAAGAAAATCAACGAAGTATAGAACCAACCTGAATTGGAAAAGACCATAACACTTTTTACTTGAATGACCAAAAAACTAATAGATGATGATGAATAAGCCATAGTCTCATATTTTGCAAGGTCCAGCATACCCATAAACCATGATGAAAATAAAGGCCTGGTTGAAAAAAATCACAAGAATCACTCTATACCTCAGGACAAATAATTTATCATGTGTGACGTGAAAACATAAAAAATGTCTCGCAGTCAGTGAGACCAAATCCAGTGAATAGGATTAAGGCTCAAGCTGATGGAAAGATCATTAGCTCTTATTACTTTCTCTGTGGGGTGAAAGAATGAGGCATATCTTCTCATCAAACCATTGTGCTTTTCTTCTGTTTTACTCTCTTTTATCTTGAAGGCATTTTTCACTTCTCCCTCCACCATTGTAAGACACTTTGAGAAAGAAATATGCAAAAAGACAATATAGCCAAACTGATATCTCCCAGATAACAGCTGTTCTCCAGAGTTACTTACTAGCCAATAAATTGTTTTGTTGCATGAGCCCATTAGCTTCTCTCTCCAGTGTTTCCACAGACTCCAAGGGCTGGAAGCGATTTAAAAGCACACAGGATGAGATGTTTACCATGATTTGGGCCAAGGAATGAAACTGCTCAGCCTTTGAGTGATTAAACATCTTGCCCAACATCCCAGCTGAGAAAAGTAAACAAATTAGGACACATTATCTCCTTGGGTCAATCCCCTGCTTTTGTTTAGATTCATAGAATAAGATGCTATAGCATTAGGCAGGGCCTTTAAGGTCATTTAATCCAATCCCTTCATGTTACAGAAGAAGAAACTGAATCCCAGAGTTTGAATTACTTGTTCAGTATTCCATAGACCCTAAACACCAGAACTAAAATTTGAATATAGTTACTCTGACTCTAAATCCAGTTCCCTTTCCAGTATGCATTCTTCTCATTTTATTCAGTTCCACAAATATTTACCAAATACATGCTAGATGCTAGAACTACAAATAATAAAAGCAACATAATTCCTGCCAAGAAGCTTGCGGTCTGCTAGGAAGGACATAATATGTACCCAAAAAAATTGTCTAAAACAAGGGAAGATGTGATGAGGGCAAAGGAGGGACACAAAAACAATGTGGCATAGAACAATCTAGGGGGAGGGACCAGAAGATTATAGAATATAATTTGTAGAGAAATTGAAAACAAATAGAAATTCCTTCGTTATAAAAGCAGAATTTATAAAATGTCTAGATGTGAATGAAAAAAGAATTTGTTTTTTTCTTCTTTTCATAAGCAACATGAGATCTACTACTTATGGTATAATCCTCTGAATCCCAATACTTCTGATAGGATAAAAATGATTGCACCCTAACATCCTTTCCAGACCCTCTGGAACCACACAGTTTCAAAGCAGCCTTTTCTACAAGAATATCTACTTTCTATTCCCCTGAAATCCTTCGTTAATTAGGAGTGAATGGAAAAGAGAAAATCGACAAAAAAGAGAAAGGATGGAAATGGGTAGCTACAGACAAGTGTTGGGAAGTAGAGCCTGGCCATAGCTTTCAGCCACCTTTCTCCATTCTAAAATGAGCCATGAGCCAAAAGAAATAGGATGTGGCAACCCCATCTCTTGAAGGGCCCTGCTATACTGTTCAGTGTCAATTTGTATTGTTGATCAGTCATTATTCAGTCATGTCCAATTCTTTGTGATCCCATTTGGTGTTTTCTTGGCTAAGATACTGAAATAGTTTGCCATTTCCTTCTCCAGATCATTTTACAGATGAGAAAACTGAGGCCAACAAGGTTAAGTGGCTTGCCCAGGGGCACACAGGTAGTAAGTATCTGAGGCCAGGTTTGAACTCAAGATGAGTCTTCCTGTCTCCAGGCCCAGCACTCCATCCACTACATCACCTAGCTGCCTGTCAATATCAACTAACGTTCTTTTTTATTATTTATTATTATTTATTAATAATAAATAGTTATCAGTGTTAAATATTACTTATTTATATTATATTTTATTGTTTTATTATTTTTCTTTTAAGTATATACAGGCAATTTTGTATATAGTAAAAATCTTGACTAGTAATGCCCAGGGATTGGGTTCTTCTGCACAGGTGTTTTGACAGGATAACATAATCAGGAGAATGCTTTGGACATAATCTATCCAGATGTAAGTACAGTGGGTGTTCCTGAGAGGGCAGTAATAAGGCCTTCCTCTTATGTCTCCTTAATGAGTTGAGAGTCCTTTGACACAGACAAGGATATCAAGATTTTTGCTAATTTGTTGGAGAACAAAATGAAGGTGTAAAAAAGATCTGAAAGTGTGGATGATTGTACAAATCTAACAAGATAAAAGATAACTGAGATTAAATGAAAAATCCTGAACCGAGGATAAAAGAAGTTAATTATACAATAAAAGTCCCAAAATCTAGCTTTTTTTTCTTTTTTCTCTGAAGTGGAAGACCTTATTTGAAATTCCAAAATGAGTCAATTTCTGTATAAGCCATAACATATACAAAGACATACTTACCATAGTTCTGTAGCTTTTCAGTGAGTTTCTCCACATCAATCTGCAATTGGCTTTCTACAAAGTTTTTGATAAATGTATTTCTCAGGGCTTCCTGAAATTAAAATTTTAATTTTTAATAGAAAGAACTTACAACATTTTCTTTTGCTATAAATTATAACCTGGCATTTATATATGGAGTTTCCTCAATGTGATCTCCAACTGCTATTGTTACTGATCATCCTTTCTGTTAAAAGAGAACCAATGACATCACAGGGTGATGTCATGACTCATGCATAAATTAGATTTAACTGAGGCAGAGTTGCTCAAAGTTGTCAGGCTCACTCTCTCTTCGAAAGTCATCAAAATTCAGTGGCAAAACAAAAGTCAAGATGACTGGCAATGGATACGGTTGATGATTTTGGCATCTTTGATGTCTCATCAAGCTCTAAGTACCTGCTTTAGATGCCTTCATGGCCATTGGAACAAATTGTTCCCTTTCACCATTCTACCAAGGGAAGTTTTCACATGCTTGGGGTAGACATCCTCCTAACTCACCAATGAGTTTTAGACCCATCAGTTACCCTCAACCTTATTTAGCCTGTCTGCCAAGACTGTTTACTGGGGGTGTGGCCACTGTGCATGCTATAGTTTCTTGGAGTCATAGGAGAGAGTTGAGTGCCAGGTAGACACAAAAGGTGAATGAACATCCCTAAGAAGGCTCACCAAGCCCTCATACCAGGGCTTCTAGAATTCCTTGAACACGCCATGCATTCCACCCATTGCTGCTATGCTATATATGTATACAAACATATAGACATATAAATATATTCATTATACACACATACATATATATACATATAGATAAACCTCTGTGTGTGTATAGTCTGTCTTTACATAATTATATTTAGAGAAGCATCTACTTTACAGAGTTTGTCTGAGGACAAAATGAAATAATGTTCCTAAAGCTGAATTTATCCTGGCTCCTATCCTTTATAAATAGATAAAAAGGCTGAAAAGCAGACAAAGTACATAGGGCCAGGTTTGAATTTATCAAGTTTTAATCCTGGGGATTCTTACCAATGATCCTTTCTACATGAGAGCTACTTAAAACAAAGTGATTCCAATTACATGAAAATAACCAATAAGAGTTTCTCTCCAGCACCATAGATTTCTATGAGACACAATGTTCAAAAGACCATAAATTTAGAACTTGAAGGAATCTTGGAAGTCACTTAGTCCAAAAAACTTCATTTTCAGATAAGGTAATAGACATTCCAAGAGGGAAAATGACTTGTCCAAGGTGACACACATAGTAAGCAGAAGAGCTGAAAGATGCAAACCTAGTTCCCTTGACACCAAATCTGGTCCTCTGTCCACTCCACCACACTACCCACTTTCAGTTCTTTTTCAAAGACCATGTTGACAGTTCAGACACTTCTTAGCAAACAGTTCTGCACACACAAAGAATCATAACTAACCTGCAGCTGGTTAATCATCTGAGCATTTCCACCATTCTGAAAGATACTAGACATTTTCAGCATTGCTTCCAAAACAATCTTCAGCTTGTCCACAAAGACAAAGGTATAATTTGCCTGCAAAGCAAAACACAGTCTTAGAGAGGATTAATCTTGAAGAAGTAAACCATGCTTCAGGAAATTTTAAGAGATTACTATGTTTCAGCATTGTGTCTATATATAAATAGAATGTAAATAATTATCGTTGAAAATGTTATTAAATATGCTTATCATATCTGTGTCATGATTCAGTTCAATTGAAGAAGTATTTATTAAGCATGTATATAAAATACTGGTCCTGAAATTAGGGATATCATGATATAAAAATAATATAGCCCCTGCCCCAACTCAAGAAGCTTGTCATTCAATAGAAGTGAGTGACGTGTACAAAAATAAAGTGTTACACAGAGTAAATTTAACAGAGGTGAAAGGGACATCCTTGATGAAAAGAAACACATAATGGAAGGTATCACAGAAGTTCACTTGAGCTGAGCCTTGAAAGAAGAAAATTTCAATATATAGAGATGAGGAAGGAGTTTGTTGTTCAATAGTTTCAGTCGTGTCCAACTCTTCATGACCCCATTTTGATATTTTCTTGGCTAAGATACTAGAATGTTTGCAATTTCCTTCCCCAGCTCATTTTAAGATGAGGAACTGAAGGAAACAAGGCTAAATGACTTGCCCACAATCACACAGCTAGTAAGTAGCTGAGGCCAGAGCTGAACTCATGAAGATGAGTCTTCTTGATTTGAAGTCCAGTGCGCTATCCACTGAGCCATCTAGCTGCCCCTATGTTAAAGTTGAACCTGTTGTTTAGTTGTATCTAACTCTTTGTGACCCCATTTGTGGTTTTCTTGGAAAGAATACTAGAGTGGTTTACCATTTCCTTCTCTGGCTCATTTTACACATCAGGAAATGGAGGCAAACAAGATTAAGTGATTTGCCCAGAGTCACAATGCTAGTGTCTGGAGGCCAGATTTGAACTCAGGAAGATGAATCTTTCTGACTCCAGGTCTGGTACTCTATTCACTGTGCCACCTAGCTGCCTGAAGAAGGAGTACATTTCAGGAATTAGAGGATGAATGACTTGAAAGGCATGCAGGAAGACTAAAAAGACAAGTTCAGGGAACAGCTAATAATCCGATTTGTCTGGAAGGGAAGTAACATAAAATAAACCAGGAAAATGGGTTAGAGTCAGATTATTCAGGGTCTTAAATATCAACCTAGAACATTTTATTTTATCCTACTAGCAATAGAGGATCACTGAAGGTTTCCAGGCAACTTATGATGGATGAGAGAGGGGTTATCTGAGTGCAGTCATTTGACATAATCAGAAGTCATTATTAAAAAGATTATTTCAGGTAGCTTTGAGAAAGAGGTAGGTTAGAAACTTAAGAGATGGTCTCCAGGAATAGCAATGGAACAAATATAGCTATATACGGATATATGAGAAGTCCTCTAACCTTCCTCCCAAATAACAGTAAAGTAAGAACTGTTTTCTTTGATGTTAAAAGAAATTCTAAAAAAAAAAAAAACCTTAAAGGGAAGGTATGATTGAAGTTTTGAAGTTGGTATCAGTGGTGGATAAGACTGTCAAAGTGGTAACATTCTAAGCTAAGGCCACTTCTCAGAAGACCCTCCTCCCTATAAAATGCATAAGACATGCTGAGGTAACTATCCCGGCTCTTGGAGGGCAAATGGATATTGCCATCTGGAATGAATATACCTGCAACTTTTGAATAGTAAACAAATTAGGAAGTTGAGGAGGGTAGTCCTTGCTGAATCAGAATCCATGTATCGATCCATTCAAATATCATCAGCTATCTCTCCCTCTTTTCCCCTCTTACACCTACAACCCATGTTGGTCAACTCAAGTACTAGACAGCAAAGATAAACTAACATGGTCTAGACAGCTCATGTAATCATCTCCAGACAGTTTGAGGATTGGACTCAAGTGGCCAGGAGATACCACCACCCCAAGTCCATCACCATTCTATGCATATGAAAGAAGGCTGTTGGGATTCTCCAGTATATTCAACTCTCAGCTGAGGACCAGCCCACCTGGTATGCTATAAAGCTCATGCAGAAAATTTGCCATGTAAAGTACTTTAATGGTGAACTTGGTCAGGTATTGATTTACCATTGGAAGTCGAGGAACAACCTGGTATAGACTTCTTCCTATGAGTGAGAAAAGATTTCAATTATCAATGAGTGTGAGGACTACAAAAACTCCAGGGTAATAGCTGGCATGCTTTAAGGTCTGCAAAGTAGTTTACATACGGTACCTTACCTTATTTGTTCCTCATAGCAATACTGTGATTATACCCATTTTATGGATGAAGAAACTAAGGTTAAATCTAGGCGAATACCTGGTAAGTGTCTAAGGCAATATAACCCAGGTTATGATAGAATTATAGCTTTAGAGTAGGAAGGGACCTCAGAGATCACCCAAACCAACTCTTTCATTTTACACTTAACCAAGGACATTAAGGGACTTGACAAAGTCATATAGTAAGTAAGCTATCAGAGACAGGATTTGAATCCCAGTCTTCTGACTCTTTTGACTGTACTCTGCTGCCTTCCTGACTCTATGGTCACAACCCCATGATCCTTGGCAATAAATTGCATATTTTCCATAGTCCTTCAGCCTCAGGGAAACAGATACAACTGTTGATCAATCTCACATAAATCAGCATTCAAGTTTTCTGCCTGGTTTGTAATAGGATACTATTTGATCTTAATACTGCTCTATTACTTTTATAAATTGAGAGGGAGGCAGGGGAGAGAAGGGAAAACCTAAAAACTGAGGTGCATATCATTGAACATTATCCATTTGCATGATAATTCAAAAGAAAGAGGAAATATCATGCCACTTTGACAAAAGAGCAAAAATTTAAGCAAAACAAATAATTTTAAATCATTTTTGAAGCTTTGCTAATTAAAAAAATGCAGTTTATTGTTTGCCTTCAGTATCTTTTTTCATGATTTGTATCAGCTAAGGAATATATGTGGGGTGTGAGTGTGTGTGTGTGTGTGTGTGTGTGTGTGTGTGTGTAATTGACATGGAGCTACCATGTGAGACATTTTGAAATGGAAAGAAGCTGTTCCTCAAGGTCACCAACCCCTCCTCTTGAAGCCATGACCTGTTCTAGGTAAAAGAAGGTAATGGCAGAGAATAGGACACAGAACAACAAGCCAGGGATTCCACCACCAACTCAAGCACTCAGCTGATATATGAATTTTGACAAATTATTCTTTATGCCTACGGTCATATCATAAGTGATGGAAGAGACAAGGTATAGAAATGAAGATGACTGGTTCCCAGGGGGAGTGTAATGATTAAATCATTGTAATTTCAAATGATTAAGTCTGCACATTGAGTGTATTTGCTGACATTCCAGACTAACATTTTCTGCCTTACCATAGGCATAAAGTACAAGCCTTGCTGCATTACTCCATCCTCCAAGTCTACCTTGATAATATAGCAACTTCTTCTTGTTTTCTAATAAAGCCATATGCTTTGTGATAATTGAGTGAGTCTGACATCCATCCATTTTTATAAGCTATCTTGGAGCTCCATAAATTGATGGAGGTCTTTTCAGGCAGACTAAGACAGCACATCTATTGTGTTGACTCAGTCTATGATAAAGCCACTGTGAAATGTCAGCAGTTTTCAAAAGAAAAAAAAAGGAAAATCAATGCTCAGATGAAATGATTGTAATAATTCCAATGTATTTGCTTAATTCAACAAAATGATCTAGTAATAAAGACTGGATGTGCAGGGACTGAATAACTTGATTGGTAATCTTATACAATCATCAATTCTCCTGGTTCAGACATGGTAGATGATAAAACTTAATATTATGAATTGTTCGTTCAGCATAAAAACAATCCTATCTTGTATCTACAAAACCATAACCCTCTAAATACTTGTTTAGTTCAATTGAACTGCCTTTTTTAAACACCAATTACGTGCCAAGCCTTTGCGGATCCTGGCATTTAAAAATAAATATGAAAATAGTTCCTGCTCTCAAAGAGCTTATATTCTACCAATGATATGTATACGGATAAATAAATACATTTGCGGAGAGAAGGAGCTCTGGACCTCTGCTATCACTTGTAAGCTCCTGGTAAAGAAGCCCCTCCCAATACAGAAGGGCACATGCTCTGTGAATTATGTAATCTGAGAGGTTTGCTTGGGATAGTGAGAAGTTAAGTGACTCATCCAGAATCACACAGACAGTTTTGTGTCAAAAGCAGGACTTGAATCCAGGTCTTTCTTACTCCAAGGCCAAATCTCTATACAATACATCATGCTGCCTCTGTAATAAAAACATATGCAAAATAATACAAGTAATTTCAAAAGAAACTGTTAATAAATGGGGGAAAGAGGAGAGATGTGTCAGGAAAAGCCTCATGAAGGCTTAGCTCTTGAACTGGAGGTGAAGGAGAACATTCCAGTCACAGAGGACAGCCTACACAGAGGTGCAGGGGCAGGAGATGGAATGTCATGGACAGGTAATAGCCAGTAGTCCATTTGGTTTTGAATAGAGAGTATATGAGGGGAATTAACGAGAAATATCTGGAAAAAAATACATTGGAACTAGATGTATAGGGCTTTAAATGCCAACTGGAAGCATTTGTAGTTTAATCTGGAGATGCTAGAAAGCCACTGAAGCCTACAAGTCCTTATACTAGGGGTTATGAAATATAAATTACAGCATAATTTGCAGACTTTAATTCTGCTTCAACTTTAGCAAAAAGAACCAAGGAGCAGAACCATGGCATAAAGGGGAAAATACTGTACTAGAAGACATCAGATCTAGGTTCTAGTCTCTCCCTCCACTGGCTGTGTGACTTTGACCTCAGCAATGACTCTCTAGAGGTTTTTAAATCAAGGATGAAAGACCAGTTGTGAGGGATGTCACTAAAGGGGATTCCTGTACAAATGTGGGTTGGACTGGATGGCTTTTGAGTTCCCTTCCCTCGTTAAGATTCTGTGAGTTGACATCATCTGTAAAATCAGGCTGCAATCACTTTACCTACCTCAAGACCAAGAGATGAGGTCCTTTCTAGCT